AGCAAAGATGAAAAAAATAGCACTAGTCCTAGTAAGGACCAAGAAATCCAAGGAGAAACTATAGCAGGTGTATTTTACCAACCCACCAACCCACAAAGAAACAGCCAGACACCTCATGGCATGAGGGTAGGGGCGCACCCAGAAAAGACCAGCCTGGGAACTCTGTTTATGGAAGACTTATAACCTATTGATGACAAGCAAGCAGAGAGGCCAAAGTGGATGTCACTGGCCTACAGTGTGTTGACTCTATCATTCTCTTCCTTTTTTTGAAAATACAGACATTTTCCTTCTCGAGTCCTCTGGGAGCTCACTTATTCCACCTCATCTTTGGATTTTGAATGGTGGCTTAACAATCACATGTGCCAGTTTCTTCAGTACTTAAGCATGTAGTCATCTGGGCCACTTGACTTGAAATTATCAAGGGCAGGTACTCTCTTACTATCTCCTAGCTTATCTTGGATATCAAGTTCTTATTAGCCATTTTTGTTCTATTCTTCCCTGTCCAGAAGTCATTCCCCTTTGACAAACATTAAAAAGCAAAGTAAGTGGTCTTGTGTTCTTCTCCACTATCAGTTATTGTCTTAATCACAGAAAGCAGCAGTCTTATTCATTATTGCATTCTGAGCTTTCCTTACACTACTCTCACAGGACCATGCCATACTTGTGTTTTCATCCTGTTACCTGCCCTTGCTGTCTGTGGTGTGTGTGTGTGTGTGTGTGTGTGTGTGTGTGTATAAACTGGTTAATAAATTCCATGTGTAATCCACATTCATTCTTTTAGATTAATCTCCTCTTCATCAGGATGATTTCTCTTGAGGTTCTTGAGATATTCCCATTTCTCAAGGGTTGACTTTTTCCTTATAGAATTTTCATTAGAGAAACCCACTTACCTCTTTGAACCTGTTGAAATTTATTTTTCTAAAATCTAGGGTTTATATCAGATGATTCCTGGCTTTTCTCTCAATCTCTATCACAAATTCTAAGATAAGATGTTTCCACTTCACTTGAAAGATACCTGTCATGTCTACCCTAGCAATTGGTTTGTTTGTCTTGGCGGAATCCGGGTTCAGAAGAGTAGTTTCTCAGTTCCTCTTACTGGTTACTCTGTCTTTTGGAGGATGACATTATCATATCTAACCCTAAAGCCATCTCTACTACTGCTTGGTCTCCCTGTCTCTCACTGGGAGAGCCCCAGTCCAGCCCATTTTCCGCTCAGTGGCCAAAATGATCTTCCTAAAATGCAGGTTTGACTGTGTCAATCCCTTACTCAGTAGATTCCAGTGACTCCCTGTTACTTCCAGGTTCAAATATAAAATCTGGTTCTCTCTTTTCTCCCCTTTCAATATTGTTCCACTTTATTCCCCTCCACAAGCCCTACAACTCAGTGACACTGGCTTCCCTAATACATCACCAAAGGGATATTACACCTCCTAACGCCAGACCTTTTCTCTGATTCTCTTCACTTTCACTTCCTGGCTTCTCTGTATTCCTTCAAAAATCAACTCAAGTCCTGCCTTCTGCAGAAGGCTTTCCAGGTCTCCTCCTCCCTTTTATCCCGTAGCAACTGACTTTCCATTTACATTGTATGAACATATCTAGTGTGAATCTACTAGTATATATCTTGTATGTACATAATTGCACGCTAGCAACTGATTTCCCATTCACATCATATGAACATATCTAGTGTGAATCTACTGTAGATATCTGTAGATAATGTAGATATACATAATTGTTTGCACACTGTCTCCTCCATTACAATGTGAGCTCTTGTGAGAGCAGGGGCTGTGTTTTTTTCCTTTCTTTGCATCCCCGGTGCTTAGCACTGTGTTTGATATCTAGCTAGGTGGCAGCTAGATGTCTCATGGATTGGGTGCTGGGCCTGGAGTCAAACAGAGGTTAAGTGACTTGCCCAAGGTCACAAAGTAATATCTGAGATTGGATTTGAACTCTGATTTTCCTGACTCCAGGCCTGGTACTCTATCTACTGAGCTGTCTAGTGGTCCCTATTCAACATGCTACTTTCTTTTTTTTTTTCTTTTTTGGGCAATGGGGGTTAAGTGACTTGCCCAGGGTCACACAGCTAGTAAGTGTTATGTGTCTGAGGCTGGATTTGAACTCAGGTCCTCCTGAATCCAGGGCCGGTGCTCTATCCACTGCACCACCTAGCTGCCCTCCAACATGCTACTTTCAAAGCTGTTCTGCTTGCCCATTTAGTGCTGAACTTCCTTCTAATCTCTTTTGTACATTTAAAAAATGCTTTAGTGGCCCTCTTTCCTTTCCTTTCCTTTTTTTTTTTGGCAATGCTATTATTAGCTCCTCTCTTCACCACCACCTCCCCCCCAAAAAGAAAAATACTTGTAACAAATGAGCATAGTCAGCCAAGAACTATTTCCACACGTTTGTCGTGTCCAGAAATATGTTTCTTGTTCTGTACTTTGAGTCCATCATCCCTCTGTCAGGAAGTGGGCAGCATGTTTCCTCATCAGTTCCCTGGATTCCTGTATTTTAAATCACAGTTCAGAAATAGAAATCCTATTCTCAGACACTAGAGTCTCAACCACTGTTCACTTTCTCTGCCTTTCTCTTCTGAGAGAGGATTTTCTTTGTCAGCAGTGGTGAAAATCATCATTGTTCCTCAGGTCTTCAGTTTCTTGCTTAAGATTTCATAATTCTTTTTTTTTCTTCCGTTTTTAGGCAATTGGGGTTAAGTGACTTGTCCAGGGTCGTACAGCTAGTAAGTCTCAAGTGTTATGTGTCTGAGGTCATTCATATTTGAACTCAGGTCCTTCTGACTCCAGGGCCGGTGCTTTATCCACTGCGCCACCTAGCTGCCCCCTGAGCTTTATTTTCCATCTACTACCCACACCTATCTCTATGGCTAACAAATTTCCCACTACCCGTTTCTCTGCCTTTTCTTGTATTGATTAATCACTAGCCACATGGGAGAAAACTATTTACAACCCCCACCTCTTGTTGTCTCATCCCATTATCTTCAACCCTACTGCATCCATGTTTAATTTCAATCCTGACCATTCTATAGTGAATGAAATTCCCTCATCTTCAACCTCTTTCTCTCATGTGCCTTTCCATCTACTTGCCCTGACTGAGAATCAGCTAATGAGAAATAGAACAATTGCCTTGCTGGAGTGATGGCCCAGTTGAAGTTTGATTTTGTTGTTGTTGTTGTTTTTCAGTTTTTTCAGCCACGTCCACCTCTTTGTGACCTCATTTGGGGTTTTCTTGGCAAAGATACTGGAGTGGTTTGTCATTTTCCTCTCCAGCTCATTTTACAGGTGAGGAAACTGAAGCCAACAGGGTAAAGTGACTTGCCCAAGGTCACACAGCTAGTAAGTGTCTGAGGCCAGATTTGAACTCATGAAGATGAATCTTTCTGACTCCAAGCTTGGCACTCTATCTGCTGTGCCACCTAGATGCCCAGAAATTGGATGTTAGAGTAAAAAAAAGTGGGAAGGAAAAAGGTCTATTGGTACCAGACCTCAAACACTACTATAACGCAGTAATCATTAAAACAGTATGGTAGTGGTTTAAAAAAAAAGTAGCTAAGTGGTATAGTGTAAAAGTATCAGGCCTGGAGCCAGGAAGACCTGAGTTCAGATATGACTTCAGAGATTTACTGCGTGATCCTGGCAAGTCACTTAACCTGTATTTGCCTCAATTTCCTCAACTATAAAATGGGGATAATAATAACACCTGTCTCCCAGGGATCAAATGAGATAATAGTTGTGAAGTGTCTGGCACTTAGTAAGCACTATATAAATGTTGCTATTATCATTGAAAAGGTCAATTGGTAGAACAGATTGAGAATATAACATGCAGAAGCAAAACAAACAGCATGGCGTTTGGTAAACCCAAAGACTTCAGTTACTGCAGAACCCTACTACTCCCTATTTGACACAAACTGCTGAGAAAACTGGACAGCAGTCTGGCAGAAAGTAAGTTTAGACCAAAACCCCAAACCATTGGCCAAGACAAGCTCCAAATGGTTGTAAATTGGACCTGCCAAGGAAGGAAGAGGGTGTCCTAGCCTCCTCTATGGTACCCATGTGGACACCTGCTTGGGCATCTTGCCCTATGCCTGCTTTCTACACGTTCCTAATCCAACACTAGGGAGGTCATAGTCCCATCGTTCTCATCAGAAGAGAGGTGGACAGCATCTGGAGGGTTATGTTTAGTACTGGGCCCAATATTCTACTTGGTCCCAGATGGTGGTATTTAGACCGATGAGTCTAAGCTGCAGAGGTGCCAATTTGGGCTGGATGTCAGGAAAAAAGTTCCCAACAATTACAACTGCCTAAATAGTGGGAAGCCTTTGGGCAGGGGTCCTTCACTGGAAATCCTCAGGCCAAGGCTAAATGATTATTTGGGGAGCTGAGTATCATAGAGAAGATCAGAGTGTGTTAGATGAGGTGAGCTCTGAATTCCCCTCCAACTTTCAGATTCTTTGACTTACTGCCTTTCATAAAATGTCAGAGAGCTCTGACTGAGCTAAATGGAAAAATGCAAAGCATTTGTCTATATTCAGCCTCTTTAGATCAACTGGTAGACCTTACTGATTACCAGGCTGAAAATGACCAGTTCTCCTTGTTCTTATGCCTTTTCCTGTCAGAGGGTCTTCCCATCTACTCTGTACATAAATATTCCCAATTATTTACATGTTGTTTCTCCCATTAGAATGTAAGCTCTTTCCTGCCCGGCACTTAGAACAATACTGGGCATAGATCAAAATCTTAATAAATGCTTGTTGACTGACTGACTGGTGGGGATAGCCAAAATTAAATCTGAGAGTGAGGGTCGGCCTCAGCTTTTGTTTTGGTTTCAGTGGTTACATCTTGGGGGGAGGGGTGATAGGTGAGAGCCTATCTTTGAGAGCAACTGCTAGGTCCCCTTCAGTGCTGATAATAATTCCCATAAGGAAGTTCTGCAAGGCAGGCTTAGAATCTCTGGGATGTGAATGAAAGGGAGCCAATCTTGCTGCTTGTTCAAACTGAGTTTTAATAAATGCCAATGAAGTTAATTTATCTATACTTATACATTAATAACCTTATGTTCATTTCCCTACTCATTTTATGTACAGCTTAAATATGGGAAACTGATAGAGAAGCGAGTCATTACTCAGAAAGGGGGAAGAGACATTCCTGAAGTAGAGAAATCTTCAGAAAGATAGCCCAGGGGTTGGCCACTTAAATGAGGTCTCTGAATGAGGATGGGACTCTGTTTCTGGGATCACCCCGAGGTTTCCAAGCACTTGTTTTTCGAAATTCAAATACTCTTCATAGTTTAGCCTCAACTCAGCTTCTAACCGTTCTTTTGATTTTTGAACAGCTTTCTGGGGAAAAGAGAGGAAAAGGAAATCACATTAGATACTTAAAGTTGAGTACTGATGTATGAGAAGATTGGAATCACTAGACTGCTACTGTCTAGTGGAAATGTTCTATCTTTTTTTGCATTTAAATCAACCTAGAAGGCTTGAGCAGAGATGTTTGTAGATTTGTTTTTTATTACCTTTGAAGTCAATTTTTCTTTGTAAAAGCTAAAAAAAAAATTTGGTTTTTTTTTGACAAATGTTGTTTGTTCTTTGTTTTCCAAGAGGACCAATGACATCATGGGATGATGTCTTGACTTGCAAGTGAACTGGATTTAAGTGAGGCAGAGCTGCGCAAAGTCATCAGCCTTAACTCTCTCTTCCAGAGTCATGAAGTGGCAAGACAAAAGCCAGGACTACTGGTGATAGCTTTGGATGTAGTGGATGACCGTGGCATCTTCGATATCTGACCAAGCTCTAAGTGTTCCCCAGCGCCTGCTTCAGCCGCCTTCATTTCTGTTGGAACAAATTGTTCTCATCTGCCCATTCTACCTGGGGAAGTCTTCACATGCTTGGGGTAGACACACCCCTAACTCATCAAGGGATTGAAGGCCTGTCAGTTACTGTCAACCTTGTTTGAGGAGACAGTTTTACGGGGTGTGGCTGCTGTGCATGCTATAGCTTTTTAGAGCCCCAGGTGAGAGTTGGGTGAAAGATGGATGAGCAGCCCTGGAAAGGGCTCAGCAAACCCTCACAGTAGAGGTGTTAATCCTCCCAGAACACCCCATACATGCTCTTGTTACACTCATGTCCATGCTAATGACCTATTCTGCAATTCACACATTGCAGTCAGGCCTTCTGGAAATTAGGACACTCTGTCCCTTTAGGTTTTGTAACATGACACACCTATTCCCTTTCCCAAGGTGCCATAGGGCACAAAAACAGTTTTCACTCACTTTTAATTTTTAAAAGTAGTTAAGTTTTGGTTCTAGGATAGCACAATTCCAAGTTACTAATCACTGCTTTTAATTAATTAGAAATTGGTTGCAGGGAGAGAGGCAATTTGCTGTAGTGAAAAGAAGGCAGGAACTGGGGGTAGGAGACCTGGGTTGGAATACTGGTTCTGTCTGTGTGATCTTGGATAGGCCATTTCCTTTCTCAGTGCCTCTGTTTCCTTTTGTGAAATGAAAGGGTCAGACTAGATCAGGGGGTCTTAACCTGGAGTCTATAAACTCTTTTTAAAAAGCATTTATGTAATTATATTTGTAGTTACAATAGTTCTTTGTATTTTGCTGTATGCTTTTAAAAACATTATTCTGACGAAGGGTCCATAGGTTTCATCAGACATGGTAAAAAACACCTGGACTGGATGATCCCCTAGATTGCTCCGAGTTCCTGTCTATCATCTGGACTGCTGGAAAATTCTGAAAGATCAATCATTACTTGGCATTCTCCTCATTCTACCATCAGGCGTGCTTAGCTTGTAACATCTCTGACCCCTCTAGTCTTGTTATTTATTTATGTCTGCAGCTTTTGAGCCATGGCCATGGGTCCTGCAGCTTTCATGATGTGGAAGCCATGTTCTGGCCTCCGGTAGTGCCGTCAGCAGGCATTCTCTGAGATTTTGGGCATACCTAGTGATGGCACTGCTCCATTAGCCATGTGATTACTTAGTTGGCTTAACTTGTTTTTCCTTGTTTGAGGAGTGAGGAGTATAGATTGTGAGCTAGTGTTTAGCACAGTACCTGACACATAGTAGGCACTTAATACATGTCTATTGATTGACTGCCTTGTCAGGTTTCTAAGAATTGAAAAATGACTTCTGTGTAAAACCATAATAATGACAACAAAAGGAATGAATGAAACATTAAAAACAGAATAAGAGCCGATGATATTTTAAAAAAATACAGTGAATTGCATCAAGTATCTATACTAGGAAAGAATGCTATAGGATGAGATAGGGATTGAGTCTGTGATTTCATGTCCACCAAAGCCTCCTGGCTCCTTCTTTGTCATTTACATTCTTAGACAGTTGCTTAGAGCACCAGGAAGTTAAATGACTTGCCCAGAGTCACGCAGCCAATATATGTCAGAGGCTATAATCAGCCTCATTTGGGCAAATCTTACTTTCATAATCTATTGTTGTCACCCATGACAGTGTTTAGCGGTACAATCTCATTAAACAGTAGGATTATCATTGGATTGCCAAACACATATTAAACATTAGATTAAATGTTAACGGAGATATTGAGAATCTGTAGAGATCTATATACATAATGAGTTTATTTCTGGCTGTTCACAGTATTCTTTCTGACCTAGAAGCTCTGGATTTTGGCAGTGATATTGCTTGGAATTTTCATTTTGGGGTTTCTTTCAGGAAGTGGATTATTTCCGTTTCCATTTTGCCCTCTCATTGTAAGAGACATGGGTAGTTTTCTTTAAGATTTCTTTAAATTTGATGTCTAAGCTCTTTGTTTGGTCATGGCATTCAGATAGTCCACTGGTTCTTTTCTTTTCCTCAAACTTTTTTTTTTCAGGTCAGTTGTTTTTGCTGTGACATGTGTTTTCTTCTGTGTTTTTAGTCTTTTGACTTTGTTGTCATATTTCTTGCTATCTCGTGTATTTGTTGATTTCTATTTGGTCCATATGGATTTTCAGGGAGTTTTGTTTCTTGGGCAAGGTTTTGTGCATCTTGTGCCAAGTTCTTAACTCCCTTTCTTATTCTTTCTTCCATAGCTCTCATTTTTCCCCCAACTTTTTTCTCAAGTGCTCTCATTTCCTTAATAAAAAACTTGCTTTACCACTTTCAAAAATTCTAATTGAATGTTCGCCCAACCTCTATTTTTCTCTGAAGCTTTGCTTACAGATGTTTTGGATTAATTCTCTTTTTCTTGGTTTGTGTCCTGCGCCTCTCTGCCACCATCGTAGTTCTTTATGATCTTTTCCCCTCTCCAATGCATACAGCTGCCAAAGTGATAGTCATTCAGTCTGCAGCTTTTGAGCCATGACCAGATTTTACTAAAGGTAAAGCACAGGTCTTACCAGGGTATACTTCTCCGGCCCAAGGAGCTCTATTAACTTGTTTTTTTGTGCCTATAACTTACTGATTACAATGAAAGTTTTTGATTTTTTTCCCCCAAATGAGAGCAGGCAGGGGAATGATAGTGACACTTTATTTAAAAAAAAAAGGAAAAAAAAAGGAGGGCAGCTAGGTAGTACAGTAGATAGAGCTCCCGCCTTGGAGTCAGGAGGACTGTGTTCATATATGGCCTCAGATACTTGACACTTACTAGCTCTGTGACCTTGGGCAAGTCACTTAACCCCAATTGCCTCACCAGAAAAAAAAAGTGAAGAAAAAGAAAGAGAAGAATGTCAATGAATCATTAAAAGATACAACAAAGAAAGCAAAAGAAAGTTCAGGAGGATATAGAGAGAAGCAGGACACTGTTGAGACTACATATTAAATTGGAAAAATCCTTTTAAAAAAACCAAGCTGTATGTAGTAGAAGGAAAAGAGAAGCTTCAGTGCCTCTCTGTTGCCCCTAGGGTAAAACACATATTTCTCTGTGTGACAGTCTGACCAAGCTTATTACACATTATTCTCCTCTATGCTTTCTGTGATCCAGCCACCACGACCTCTTTGCTGCACCTCCTACATACATTCCAAACCACCTGGTGCTGGTTGTCCTGGACAGACGAAGACAACACCCCTGGCCCTTTAATACATCCCAAAGGAATTCTCTGCTTTTATTAGAAAATCCTCGATAGGGAATTGGGTGAGATTTCCTAGGGCATCAGACTGGCATCTCCTTTTTTATGAATAATTGAGAAGTATCTTCTTTACCCTGAGGACAGATGGGGAAGGAAGAGGACCTGACCAAAGCTAGTCTTCACTGCTGAAGGACAGAAGGTTAGATATTAGAGGGGGAAAAAAAGGTTTGTTTCTTAAATTTTCACTTACACTTTTATTTTTCTCTGATTCCAGGTGCAAATCTGTTTTTTGCTTCGCTCGGATTTCTTTGCGTTTTTCTGTATATTTCAGGTGACTGACCTCTCTGTCAAAGTAATGGTATACACTTTGTACCTGTTAACAAAAACAAAGAGACAATCGCATAATCCAGAAGGTTCATTTCAAACGATAGCACAAAGCTCAGCCACGTTGCCTTTGATCATTAGAAGTTACAGAATGGAGATAGTAGTTTCCAGGTCCTTTCTTTGCTTTACTCATTTATGTAGGCCCTGGATAAGTCACAAGTAGCATATGCTGATGCAAACGTACTCTCAAACTTGTCCAAAACTATATATATATATCAGTGACTTTGCTAAGTATCTTACAGGTCCATCTCTCATGGGAGAAATTCCACCTACAATTCAACCTTTTATGTTGAATTGTGCTTGGTGTGAATATAAGTAGCACTTCTTTCCCCAAGGGGGAAAAGTTATGAGCTCTTGGTGGTTTTCCTTTGGTTCAAATCTTTGTGTAGTACAGACTCACTGTACTTACAGTCTGCTGGGGAAGAGTGATACTATACTTTCATGTTAACTTCATACATGCTGTTTGTAACCCATATCCTTCCTTTCATAATTACTGATTCTTAAAGTCAATTCTTCTCTTCAAGTCAATTCTGTTCTCTTTTGGTTGGTCTCCCACCCCTACGATTATAGTTTATTTGACTTATGAAATATGAGCAAACTCCCTGTTTGACTGAATGACTACTCATTGAGTAAATTCTAGTGGGGCTTATTTGGAGGAGGAGGGTTCAATGGAACAGCTGGTAGAGAAATGATGGAGTCAGAGAACCAAGATTTGAATTCTGCCTTGCCTCACCTCTCTGAGCTTCAGGTTTCTCCTTCATAAAGCGAAGGGGTTGTAGTCAGTGACCTCTACAATCCTCTCCATTTTTTAAGGTAAATTGTATTTTATTTTCCCCCCAGTTACGTGTAAAAATAATTTTTAACATTTGTTTTTAAAACTTTGAGTTCCAAATTCTCTCCTTCCTCCCTCCCCACCCCCCTCATTGAGAAGGCAAGCAATTCGACATAGGTTATACATGTGTTGTCATGCAAAACACATCCATAATAGTCATGTTGTGAAAGAAAATACAGACCAAAAAAAAAAAACTCAAGAAAAATGGAGAAAGTAAAAAAACTTTGCTTCAACCTGCATTCAGACACCATTAGTTCTTTCTCTGGGGATGGATAGCATTTTTCATCATAATTCCTTCAGAGTTGTTTTGGATCTTTGTATTGCTGAGAATAGCTAAGTCATTTATAGCTGATCATCTTATAATATTGCTATAATTTGTACACAGTACATTTCACTTTGCATCAGCCCATGCAAGCCTTTCCAGGTTTTTCTGAGAGCATCCTGCTCATCATTTCTTATGGTACAATAGTATTCCATCTTAATCACATACACAATTTGTTCAACTATTCCCTAATTGATGGGCATCCCCTCAAGTTCTAATTCTTTGCTCCCAGAAAAGAGCTGCCATAAATAATTTTGTACAAATAGGTTCTTTTCCTTTTTGTTTTTTTACTGCTTTGGGGATACAGACCTAGGAATGGTGTTGCTAGGCCAAAGGGTATGCATGGTTTTATAGCCCTTAGGACATAGTTCCAAATTGCTCTACGGAATGGTTGAATCAGTTCACAACTCCACCAACAGTGCATTAAAGTCTCATTTTTCCCACATTCCCTCCAACATTTGTCTTTTACCTTTCCTCTCCTATTAGCCAATCTAATAGGTATGAGATAGTACCTCAGAATTGTCTTAATTTGCATTTCTCCAATTAATAGTGAGCTAGAGTATTTTTTTTTCATATGGCTATAGATAGCTTTGATTACTTCATCTAAAAACTGATATCTTTTGATCACTTATCAATTGGGGAATGGTGCTTATTTTTTATAAATTTGACACAGTTCTCTTATGTTTGAGAAATGAGAAACTTGTTTCAAAATTATTTTTCACAGTTAATATTGGTAACTATATTTTCCTCTCTCCTATTCCCCCCTGTTTATTCTATTCTCTCTCTCCTTTCACCCTGTCCCTCCTCAAAGTGTTTTGCTTCTGACTACTCCCTCTCCCAGTCTGCCCTCCCTTCTATCACCGCCCTCCAATCCTCTCCATTTTTTACATCTATGATGCCGAAGTCTAGAATTTTCTGAACTGTATGACCACACAGAAAAGAGCTAACCATTGTTTCTAAACATAGTAAGTCCATAGTTAAAAGAAACTAAAACAACTTTTTGAAAATAATGCCCCTGAGATATCTAATCACACAAATCCCCAAAGCAAAATATTACCAACCTCATTGGCCAAAGGGTGACATAATGTCCATGGAATTTCTAATATATGCAGCGTTCCAAAATAATCAGCTATGGCTACAAATTGCTGCCTTGCTGAAAGATTTTTAAAAGGGGAAAAACTTAGCAAACAAAAAGTAATTTTAGAAGTTAAACACCCATGTGTTTTTGTTTTGCAGTCTCCTCAGGGACTTGTTGCTTCTACATGTGGTTGCATTGGTCATGGAGCCTTGGTTGGGTTTTACAGCAGAGACCACATAGACATATGGAAGTCAGTTTTTCCAGTTTGGGGGAAAGAACAAAGATTCTAAACCTTTTGTCAGCCATGTTGAGCCTTCCTCCAACCACGCTTTCCTTGTCTGTGCTTCTCTGTGAGCTTTCCATCCTAACTCAGTGGGTAGATAACAGACATGCTCAGAGGGAATGATGACATATGGGACAATTTTCAAAGAATACTTCTAGAGGATATTTTAGTTTGTAAGACTCAAAGGGAAAATAAGCTTCCCATGATCCAGAGGGATTTCAAAGCAGCAACCAGACCCATTGCTTTCTCTGCCACAGAGCAACAGATTTTTTTTTCCCTGAGATTTTAAAATATGAACAAAATATCAAATGCTGCTAGAGAATTTTCATTTAAAAAAACTCATCACATTTGTTGTTTTTCTCCTTTCTCCTCTACAGGAGACTTCATTCAAATAGATTGTAGATTCTTGCTATTGAAAAGTTAGGAAAATTAGGATTTTGGATTAATTAAAAGTAGCAAACACCTTGACAACGGGTACTGTATAGCTTAGCAATGGCTGATCTGGAAAACATTAGGAAGTTGGGATAATCAAAATAAATTCTATGTCTAATCTTTCTGAGAGGGAAATAAAAGAATGGAATGAAAGTAAATGCCTATGTATCTCTGGGACAAATGCAACACTGCAAACATGTTAGGAATCAGAGAACCTTGTAGAAATTCAGGCCACCCCTCCAAAGAAAGGGATAATATTTCTCTCTCAGGAATTATCTTTAATCACCAAGAACATTTTTATATATTTTTTCCTTACCTTGGGCAAGTTACTTATCCTCTCTATGCTCTGGCATTTAAATATGTATTACATGTGAATATATAATATAAACATAAGACTATAAATTGCAGCAAATAGTACAGCTAGGTGGTGACAGGGAAGCTAGGTGGTGTAGTGGATAGAGTGCCTGGGTCTGAAGTCTTAAAGACCTGAGTTCAAATCTAGCCTCAGATACTTACTAGCTATGTGACCCTGGGCAAGTCATCCTGTTTGCCTCAGTTCCCTCATCTGTGAAATGAGCAGGGTTGCTCCAGTATCTTTGCCAAGAAAACCCCAAATGGAGTCACAAAAGTTGGACATGGCTGAAACAACTGAGTAACAACCTAAATTGTAGAGAAGGTTCTGAGCCACATTGGGAAAGGGAGTTTCCCTACCTGGGAGTTCCTTATGGTAATATAATGACAGGTTCAGTCTTCTACTATTAGTTCAAATAATAATAATAATAAAAGAAGCCTTATGCAGAATGCCCTCCAAATTATTTATCTGATTAATCAAAGTAACTGATATGAGTTCAGTGGATAGTCATAAAGATTAAAAGATTGGAAAACATGGTGTATAGGGAAGGGAAGGCTAAAGCAATGGAATTACGTAACCTAGAGAAGGGAAGGAAGAGGATGTATCTAAGCAGTCACAGTCTAGCTCCAGCTGGGGAGACTGGGAAGGATGAAGCCCTGGTTTATTGTTTGCTGAGGTCCCAAGGCATTCTACCATGATTTCACAGCCTCACCATCGCAGAATGAGTTCAGATTAGGGCTTCTCTGCTGCTGCTTCTGTAGAAGACAGATCACAGGACCAAGATCCAGGAGATGGGGGTTGAGGGGAGGGTGTCTAGTCAAGAGTCTTATCTAGAGGCAGCATGATCTCATGGAGATAGCGCTCACCTTGGAATCCGAAAGACATGGATTCAAATTCTGTCTCGGATACAAACTAGCTCTGTGACCCAGGGCAAGTCCACGACCTCTCCGAGGCATGGCTCCCTCACCTGTAAAATGCTCTCTCAGGGCTTTTTTGGGGATTAATATGTGCTAGAAAGCACTTTGCAAACCTAAAGCATCATGTAGACATCAGAGAGGGGGCAGCATGGAGAGGGATGTCCTCTGTGGCAGTGAAACCATCCGTCTAGTTAAAAAGGGAAAAAAAGAACAATTCTTCTTAGTCTCTGATTCACCCCTAACTCTGTGACCTTGGGAATTTCTGCGTCTGTCAGCTGCTTTTGGAAACAGGTACACATGGGGGAATGATTTCAGGATAGCCTGCTGTGTGGTATCTCTGTTTGCTGATCGGGGTTAGGGATTGGCAGACTAGTGCCTGGCAGCTTCTACCCAGGACGTGCAAAGCCTTGGTCTTTAAGCCAATGAGAGGGACAATCTGGCAGTCCGAGTCAGCAGTCAGCAGCAGGAAGGGCTGTGTCAGGCTTCACTGGGGGCCCTGCAATGACCTCAAGTATAAAAGAACACATTAAAAAAAAGTGAACATAAGCTTTGGTTTCCTTATGAGAAGTATAATGTCCTGGCCAAGGACAGCAACGCTCTGTAGACCCTAAATATTGAGGTCACTCCTCATCACCAAACCTCAAGAGGGTCTTGGACACACTTGTAGCATTATCTTGTGGAAGGAAACAGGAATGATGAAGGCACTTGAAGCCGTGTCATAGGAAGATTGGTTGAAGAATCTAGGAATGTTTAGTCTAGGATAAGGAGATACGGGGCTTGGGGGCATCATTTCTGTCTTCAAGTATTCAAATCACTGTTGTGTCATTTGGCAGTGATGTCAGCTGGCTGCCCTCTGGTACTGGAGGCAGAACCTACTGTGCTTTTCACCATTGGGAAACAAAGGCTGGCTTCAGTTCAAGGAAGAACTTCCCGATCAGCCAATCAACAAGCAATTATTGAGCGCCTATTGTGTACCAGGCAGTGTGCTAGGTGCTAGGAATACAAAGACATAGATGACATAGCCTTTGCCCTGAAAGAACTTACGCTCTAACAGGGGAGACACCATGCAAATAAGGGGAGATGCCAGTAACTAGGGGAAGCAGTGGCCTCCTCTAGGTGATGGTGGTGCTTCAGCAGAGTCTTGGAAGGAAAGCAGTTATCTAAGAGGCAGAGGTGAGATGAGCATTCTTTCTAGGCAGGAGTGACTGTCAGTGGAAGGGCTGGCAGGTGGGAGATGGAACTTCATGTTTGAGGAGCTGCAAGGAGGCCAGCACTAGGGGACTGTGGATCATATGAAGGGAAGGGAAGAGGAGGAAGGGGCCAGATTATAAATAGCTTTAAATAACTGATCCATGAGATAATAGTCATAGTAAACTGGAGTTTACTTAGTAAAGAGGGGGAGGGTGACAAGGTCAGATCTGCACTTTCAGAAAATCCCTTTGGCAGCTGAATGGAGGATGGGCTGGAGTGGGGAGACACTTGAGATACCAGTTGGCAAGGTGGTGGCCACAGTCCCTTTGAATGGTGATGAGGATGTACATTAGGGAGGGTGGCTGGGTGAGTGTGAGAGACGTTGTGGAAGTCGGAACAGCAAGATTTGGCATCGGATTGAGTTTGTGAAGTGAGTGAAAATAAGGAGGATGACGTCAAGATTGTGACCTTGGTGGCTGGAAGGATGATGGAGCCCATGACAGAAATAGGGGATAAGTCATATAGTGGGCCACCTGTCACTGGAGATGTCCAAGGATAAGCCAGGTAACCATCTGTCAAGGTCAGTAGAGGGAATTAATTTCAGACAGAGTGAATGATCTCTAAGGTTCCTTCCAACCTTAAGACTGTAGGTTGATCAGCTCTAAAATGGGGACAGAACCCTTCCTCAGAGTGACCGTGAAGATCAACTATCCTTCTCATGTAAAAGCTCTTTGAACAGGTACAAAGCACATTAGAAATGTACAGGAAGGCTAGCCACAGCTGGGCCCGTAGCCACTCCTTCCATTCAAGTGTCTGAATCAGGCTAGGGGCCGGGGAGGAAGGCGGCTGCCATAGTTGGGAGACAAGTGAACTCGGCAAAGTACTCACTAGCTTCTTCGTTTTGTCCATTTCAAGGTCTGAGTCCATCACATTCATGGAGAAGGGAGCCTTCTTTCACACTCACCTTCCAGAATGGATGGGAAAGTCATAATGCTGAGCTCATCACAGGAGGGATTTAAGTTAGATAATTTTTTCACACTGGAGACTTGTTAAATCTTGGAATGGGTTGCAGAGGGAGGCTGTGGCATTTCCTTCTCTGGAAGTCTTTAAAAACAGCTGGGTTTTTATCTGTTAGGGATGGATCATATGACTTCCTGTAGGATGGGACAGAGGACCATTTTATAGCTTTTTCCTACATTATGATTCTTCTAATACTAAGTAAGATCACTTTAAAAGATCCTTGTTAATAGGTTAACAAGGAGCACTGGGCATAGTAGAAAGTCTATTGGACTTGAAATCAGGAAATGAGTCCAAATCCCTACTCCATTGCTTATAAGCTGTGTGACCATGGTTATTTGCCTTCAGTTTCCTCATTGGTAAAATAAAGCTAAAATGCCTGTCCTTGTTGAAAGCATACATTGGTTCAGGGATAGACACCAGGCCTGTGATTAGCCTTAGAAGGGGGGCCCAGATCCCCAGGATGTCCAAGTGACTTGCCAAGACTTCCAGAGCCAGTAGGCATTGGAAGCAGTACTTCAACCTAGGTCCTGCTGGCCTTGAGACTGACCCTCTAGCCATTGCACCCCAGAGCTTCTCACTTTGCCAACTCAAAAGCACTTCTCTAATGCCAGCTATTGTTTATTTATAAAGAATGAGATGAGTTCAGGTTGCCTCTTTATCAAAGTTAACCTACTGGAGACCATCCAGGGTCTGATGTATGTGATTGATGTTGTGCATATGTTTTGTGTGTGGGCCGGTTCGTGAGTTTTCTCCAGCAGGTCCCAAATATCGATGTATCCGTCATCTTTGCCCACAAAGAATACTGCTGGTCTCGTCAAGGACCAATGTCCGGCAGTGTACATTTTTGTTGAGCAGGCTGACTGAAGGAGTGGTCCTTGCTGAAAAGAAAGAGACAAAACCCCATGTAAATGCTGAGAGAAGCTTCAAGCCTGTGGTTATTGTCAGATGAAATAAATGATGATTTTCCATGGCAAATCTAAAATTTTCTTGAAGATTCCACAAGGGAAGTCTTAAGTTTTTATTCAGTACTAGTTCATTATGACTATTATCTTATGTTCTTAATGCTCCCCACTGAAGTCCTCCCTCAGGGATTGGTTTAACAAAGAAACGCGGGGTTCAGTTCTTCATTTTCTGTGCTCCCTGACTTCTTATTCTGATCTCAGCTTTCCTAACGGAATGGAACGGAAGGGCATTCATGTCCCTGAGCACTGGGAATGCAGAGAGAGAAGCAAACCAGTCCCTGCTCTCAAAGTGTTCACATTTTAATTGGCGGACACAACCCATGACTGTCCTTCTCCATCTAAGATTGACAAACGGGAGTCTGAAAGGGCTCAGCTGCTGCTGGAATCTCCATGCAGCCCTGGTAGTCAGCAGCGGAGGGTGGGAACTCCTCTGCCAATCCTACTGTAAGTCACCCACTGCTCGTCCTCACCAGACCCGGGCCAAAGTCATGGAACAAGCCTCCAAGTGGAAAGTAGCCAAGACTTGCCATGGGGTTCATAAAGACTATTTGGGATGAGTTTGGCTGCCCAGCCTCAGGAGACCTTTCTCTTTCTTCCCCTCCATAACATACACAATAGTTGGAACATCCCTTGGGATCTTTCCTCAAGAGAAGAGTGTCAGGATCCACCCACATTTCCACTGCCTCAGTGTGCACTCCAACCAGCTGAAATAATGAAGGCCTGGGATTGGCCATGGCCCTGGAAAGGACCATATGTGAGTCAGCTTCCTGGCTGAAGCTGAAGATGAGCTTGGGCTCAAGGTGTCTTTGGGGTGGGGGCTCCAGCCTGACCTCTGACCTTGCCCCTTGTTTCCTTTGGCTCATGTTTTGCCTCTAACATTTAGGTTCTCTTCTCCATTAGTTGCCCTGGGCTCTGGCATATTTTCTCTGATCTGTGGTTACCTGCTCGGCACCTTATTCACTGCTTCAACCTGATTTTTGAGTCAGGCACGCTTGTGAAGCCCTGACTGACTGCTCGGCATTCTCGCCTCCTCCCTGCCTTTCTCTCTACTCTGTACTTAGCTTTTCTATAACTGTTTTTTTCTATGTTGTTTTCTCTGTTAGAATGGAAGCTCCTCGAGGGCAGGAACTATTGCTGTTCTTTTCCTTTCTTCAGATTCCACAGTGTCTGGCACATACTAAGCACTTAATACTTGTTGATTGATGGACCGATTGCTATAGTACCAGTTCTACCAGTCTGACCTTTCTATCCGTTGTCTCTGCTCTACCACGGCCGTCCCCGGTCCCAGTGTTGACAAAGAGGCTAATGGCAATGTTGTCCCTCATACTTCATGGCTTCCTAGTGGACTGATGGGGACTCATGGGAGGTCGGAGGTGAGGGGCCCAAAGCTAGCCAAAGCCTCAAGGAAGACAGCCCTGGGTCTCAGAGAATAAGCAGACCAAGTAGATGGTAAAGTGGGAATTCTGAATGTTGTTTTGTTCGCCTAGACGAGCTAGTTCTAAGGAGATAAAAGGAAGGGATTGTTTTGAAAAGCTCAGGGTGGATCTGCTCGCAAGCTGTGGCGCTGGCCATCTGTTGCAGTTTCCATGAGTTGTGCCCCACACGCACTAGCATGGGAGAGCAGCTCGTGCATTGTTCTTTCTCAATAACCGGGTACAACATAGCCACAGTTTTTGCTCAGCCATTATGCACAGAACTTACAGGAACACCTTCCTTCCATATGGCCACATTCCAGCCCCCAATGGTGAGGATAATGTCCTGGTAAAAAGGTGATCTCTGGACAGTGTTAATGCTTCCATCGTGGACCGCGTATCGGTTCAACGGCTTCTGACCTGTTAGGATGGAAAGGTCATTTCCTGCCTGTAAGATGGCTGAGACAATTACCAGTGAAGATGAGGAGAAGGGTGAGAGAGCAGGCTCCCGGTTTGGGGGAGCGGGGAGAGTACGAGAAGAGATAAACTCAGCCTCTTGGCACCAGGGGGAGCAGACTGGTGGAATGGAAGCAACACAAGACTTAGAGGCGGGAGGCTGGGTTTGCATTCCCATTCCAACACGAGCAAAATACTTCCCCTTTCTGGGCCTCAGTTTCCTCATCTGTAAAATGAGGGGATTGGACTCTGTGATCTCTGCAATTCTTTTCAGCTCTAACTCCCAAGAACAATTCTTTTCCTTTGAATAGAGATTTGTAGGCTGGTAAGAGAACTCGGAAGATAGAATATGGTCAGTTTAGTCTAGGTTCACAATGGAAGCCATTGCCCTGTGCTAGGTGTATGAGAAATACTTAATATTTATTGAATGAATAAACAACTGATAGGGATCTTGGGAAATGGCCTAAGAAAGTTTTGTTCAGGTATCCACTTCTATTCATTCAACAAACGTTAAATCTTTGGAAGCTATTCACCTAATGTAGGTTATAAAACTAAATAACAATCAAAGCGGTTTATAGATCACTGTATCTGTTCACTTTAAAGCACCTAAAGAATGCTGAACCTCACCATGTTGTTTGAATGAAGAAGTTCACACTCAGGACATATTTATCCCTCTTCTCCACATGGAATCCTTATTTTCCATCAAGGTGCTTCCTCTTCTAAGAAGACTGCCCTGATTTCCACAGCCCTCGGTGATGTCTCCCTCTGTCTCACATATCTTACATAACTCTGTACATGTCACATTCCCCAGCAAAAGGGAAGCCCCCTGATGGCAGGGGAATATTTCTTTTCTTTCTCTTTCTTTCTTCCTTCCTTCCTCTTTCTCTCTTTCCTTCTTTCTTTCTTTCTTTCTTTCTTTCTTTCTTTCTTTCTTTCTTTCCAATCAGGTTAAGTGACTTACCCAGGTCACATAGCTAGTAAGTGTCAAATGTCTGAGGTCAGATTTGAACTCAGATCCTCTTGACTCTAAGGCTGAGCTCTATCCACTGCACCTCCTAGCTGTGCCCAGGGGATATTTCTTTTCTTGTCTCTTTATCCCCAGAGCCTAGCATGGAGCCTGGTGTGTAGCTAACACTCATAAATGTTCATTGAAGTTGACTGACCCCATCTATGGGTCCTGGACAGTTTCCTCTTTGCCCAGACACAGGGTGAGCTGCTAATTAAGTGGGAAATGATTCACTGACTTTAAGTAGGGTATAACTGTAGCTTTGCTGCATTAATACAGAACACCAAAGGAAAGGAAGGGGGCAGGTGGAAGGTTGCTGTTCTCACGGAACCTTCAGTTAGTCTAATTTCATTCTGAACTACCTTCAGCCTTGTTTCCTTCTGGTTGGGCTGTCAGAACAGTTTTCTCCTGTCTCCTGGCGCCCTTTGGTGGAGTTTTTTCGCATTGCAGCACTGGCCCAGATATTGCCATTGTCGGGAATAGGAGCTGTGAGTTATATTTTAAAACAAAATGTTCTTAAAAGGTACTCCTAGTTTCTCCCTGAAAAGATGATGGTAGTGGAATGGAGCTTCCTCAGATCACTGCCTTCACAAGGGGCCTCGGGGTTCCGAGACAGGATGCAATCATCCAAGTCTCTGGGACCCCAGGCTGTTGGTTTGGATCCTGACTCTGATTCTTACCCGAGTCTTGGGCATGTCAGTGAACTTCCCTGGGCCTCTATTTCTGCATCCATAAGATAAGGGGGTTGTACTAAATGACTGATGGATTCCCTCCCAGCTCTAAATCTATAAGTCATAGTGTTTTAACATTAATTTTTATTCTAGTGAACCGTTTTCTAATGTGTTAAAATTATAGTTGGGAGAGGAGCTGGATTGCAGCTGCTCTTTCCTAGCTGTGTGTTTGGCCCGTCATGCATCCAGAGGCTTCTGGTTATCGAGCATGTGTCATCTCCTCCCTTTAGTGGAGGTGGGTGGTGGGTAGCACCAGCCTACTCTCTCCCATCATCCTCTTTTCTGAACCTGGTTCTCACACTATGACAGATCTCCCTTGGCTTTCTATGGTTGAGGGAGGGAATGTCTTCTCTGCCTACTCCCCATTCCCCAACTATGTATGAATATCTGGGTTTATCTGGGTGAACCTGGTGGACATTCCCACTTTAGGGTTCCTTTCCCCGAGCACAGGTGACCAAACAGCAATCCTGAGAGTTGAGGAAGGGAAGGAAAAGAAATGAAATAAGCATTTATTAAGCACTTGCTTTGTGTTAGGCATTATGCTAAGGCTTTTTACAAATACTACTCCCTTTGACCTTCACAACAACGCTGAGAGACAGGTGCTGTTATTATCCCCATTTTACAGCTGAGGAAACTGAGATAAACAGATGTGAAGTGAGTTGCCCAGGGTCACGTAGGCCAGAATTTAACTCAGGTCTTCCTAACTCTAGGCCTGTTCTCTATGCACAAGCTGCCTATGATTAAGGGGACGGCCAGAGATGGTCTTATTGAGCTTAGTGGCTGCGGTGGGAGTTTCGTGAACTCCTGGCTTCCTCACTTGGTAGAGGCTGCCCTGCGGAAGGTAGCTTCTAACAGCCACTCTGCCCTTCTTGGAGGAAAATAAACCATGGGCTAGGCTGGCCAGAACATGTGGACCTTGGATGAACTGTGGAGCTGTAGATTCAAGGTAAAAGTCAAATGCCAGTTTGTGTTTTAAGTACTTGGCTACTGGTGCGCAGAGTCTTTTGTGTTTTGAAGAATGTCTTTTGTGGTAGGGGAAATAAATGGCTGTTCTATGTCTAATCCATTGTTGTTTGGTTATTTCAGTCATGTCTGAGTCTTTGTGGCCCCATTTGGGGTTTTCTTGGCAGAGATACCGGAGTGGTTCGCCATTTCCTTCTCCAGCTCATTCTATGGATGAGGAAACTGAGGCAGAGTTAAGTGACTTGCCCAGGGTCACGTAGGTAGTGAGTGTCTGAGGCCAGATTGAACTGACTCCAAGCCCAGCACTCTATGCACCATGGCGCCACCTAGCCGCTCCTATGCCTGATGTGCTTTGTACCTTTTTGAAAGGGAACCTACTAATTCCTTTTGGGAAACCCAAGATGTGAGCCAAACCTAAGCTTTGCTGCAAACATTGAACCCAGTTCAGAAAAGTTTCTTGGAGGATGGGAAGGGTACTTCCTAAGCCTCAAGTCTCTTCACTGTAGAATGAGGGCATGGGACTGGATGCCCTGAAGTTCTTCCAGCTCTAAATCAATGATCCTAAAATAATAAGAGCTAACATCTCTAGAGCACTTTAAGGTTTTGCAAAGTGCTGTACGCATACAGGTTACCTCATTGGAACCTCACAACCGCTCTGTGAGGTAGGTGCAATTGTTATTCCCGTTTTCATACAGGGAACTGAGGCCAGGAGTGGTCAGGTGACCTGGACAGGGTCACACAGCTAGTGTCTGAGGTGGGATTCAGACTCGGGTCTTCCTGCCTCCGAGTCAGCCCACGCTCCCCTGGACCACCTGAGCTCCTGTGTGGGTCTAATCAGCGGCTCTGAGATCACCTAGGGGCTTCTCGGCATCTTTAAAAAGATTCTGTGCCCTAACAGAACCCACAGAACTGGGTCTGCAGCTTCCAGACAGGTTAATACTGAGACCTCTGGTGGAACTGATGCTGTGTGTGAGCTGTGGGAAATGGAGGGTCGGCACCTGTCAGCACTGAAGCAGCGGCGGTGCTCAGGACACCGCGGGGGCTGGTGGTGAGAGCACTAAATCTTAAGTCCCTGAGAGGCCACTCAGCTGTGTGACCCTGAGCAAGTCATTTTACCTGTGGAGGCCTCGGTTTCCTCATTTGTAAAATGCAGGGGTTGGAACAGGTGGCCTCTCAGTTCCCGTCCAGCTCTGAATCTGCGCTTTCTGATCCCTCTGGGAAAGGATGGAGCTGGGAAGAAGGCACTGGCACTCCTTTATGTCTCAATGTAACCATGTGCCTCATTTTGACCTGTGACACATCCACAGGTTGGTTTGAGGGTGATCCTGCTTCTTGAGGGCAGGGGCTGTTTCATTTTTATCTCTGTGTCCCCAGCACAATCTCTGTCACATAGTAGGTACTTTAAAATACTTGATGTTTTAAAAAAAGATTATCTCTAGAGGAAGAGAAAGAAAGGAAATAGCATTTATTATGCACCTACTGTGTGCCACGTACTGTGCTAAGCACTTTACTAATATTTCATTTGACTCTCACAGCAACCCTGCAAGACAGGTGCTGTTATTATTCCCATTTTACAGTTGAGAAAACCGAGGCAAACAGAGATGAAGTGAATTCAAGTCTTCCTGACTCTAGGTCCATACTCTGAGGTGGGAGCATATTAAGCCACCCAGCGGGGGAAGAACATGACTGTCCTCTTTTGGCAGCCAGGCTCCCCTAGGAATGCACCTGGTCTGTGTGAGGCCAGATGCAGGGATCCTTAGCAGGAGGACAGCCAGTGGGCCGGTTACACAGTCCTCCAGTGCCTAACAAGTACAGCTCCAAAAAAGCCCTTCCCAGCTCCTGAGCAGCCTCCAGTCGAGGCCACGTCAAACTCATCTACCTTACTGAAGTTGTAGGGTCTGTGAATTCAGCGCTCACACAAGTTCAATTTCTTTCTTTTGTCACTTAAGCTACCAAATCAGCCCTCTTCATCACATGTAGTTCAGTTGGTATCAACTGGAGGCTGACCCTTTAAATTCATTTTTAGAAGAAAAAGGTTTTATTCTTAGGGAGTCAGGAAGACCTGAATTCAAATCTAGCCTCAGACACTTACTAGCTGTGTGATCCTGGGCAAGTCACTTAACCTCTGTTTGACTCAGTTTCCTCATCTGTCAAGTGGGGATAATAATAGCACCTACCTTCCAGGTTGTTGGAAGGATCACATAAGATAATTATAAAGCACTGAGCACAGTGCCTGGCACATAGTAAGCACTATATAAATATTAACTATTGGTTGTTGTAATAGGCATAGTAGTCGTACTAGTAATGGTGGTCATAGTAGTAGTCATAGTAGTAGTAGTAGTAGTAATATATACAAGAGTGTGCCCAAGGAGCCTAGGGAGCTGCTTTGTTGAATATTTAAAAGCAACGTTCTTTTATTATGCTTTTCTCTTTCATACATCAATGAGATGAGATGGGGGAGAAGCTTCTGTATTAATGGAAAGTGTTCCCACCTCACTGAAATACTAGACCCAAAAAGGTACAAAGGTACGAAAGGGCTAACCTATGGGCACTGGGGGGTGGGGTGGGTGGGTGCTGAATTTCGTTATTCTTTGCTTCTGTGCTCTACTGATGTCCCCAGCGCTTCAACCATGGCCCTGTGGGCCAAGTGCTATTCTGCTCCTTAGTCTTCTAAGGAGAGAACCAGCACGATGTGTGGTGGGTGGATAGGGAGCTGACCAGGAACATCTGGGCTCAAGTCCTTCCTCTGACACACGCAGGCAGTGTGACTCTGGGCAAGTCTCTCAGCCTTTCATTGCGGTGGCCCACTCTGCTCTCTAGGACTCCCGGTTACAGAGATGTTCCTGATCCACATTGGTAGAGAGGGGAGAGCTCCCCAGGTCATTGAAATCACAGGTCCCAACCTCGTCCCTCTGTTCATATAGAGTTATTTCTGTCTCTCCCAACTTGCTAATTCTCAGCCATATTTCCTTCTCTTCCTCGGTAATCTCCTTCATTCCTCCACCATCAGCTATGGCCTTGCTGCAGATGATTCCAAAGACTGGATCTCCAGCCCAGACCTCTCTCTCGACCTCACACTACCTGCAGTGCCTCCCCACCTGGCCATGCCCCATCTCTATCTCCAGCTCCAAGTGTTGAGTTCTCAAACTGAACTCACCTGGCCTCCCCCACTCGCTCCTCTCTGTGACCTCCCTGGTTCTGCTAGTGCCATCACACTCAGCAAGCCATCCTGTTCAAAGGTTAGTCGATGCCCATGATTCGCTCGGTTTCCTCATCCCCACCCCACCCTCATCCTCTCAGGCACCAAGTGCTACTGATTGCCTTTCCTCCTCTATCTGCCCGCTCACCTTTATGGCCACTGCCTCCACTCCAGTGCGAGCCTTGATTACTGCCAGCCCTGACTTGGGAGACGGCCTCATGTTCGGCCTTCCCACCTCCATTCTTTCCTACTTTTACTGCCTATCTTGCTACAAGCTCCAGGGGCAGTTTCTTATTTAAACTTCCTGTTTTCCCCAGTGCCCAACCCAACACTCTACAAAAGCCGGTGATTTGTAAAATGCTTGTTGATTTAATGAATAAATCCATTCTTCTTATTGAATTTTCCTTATGTGAAGATTTTGTAATGTTAACTCTTTTCCTCAAAACTCCTCCGGGGCTCCCTATTTCATACTGAATAAAATAACACCTTAGTCTGACTTTTTTTTAAGGCAATCAGCAGTGTGGAAGCCAGTATTTCGAGCCTTATCTTACGGCACATGTATGATGCTCTAGCCAAGCTGGACTTTTTGCTGTCCCATGTATATATCCTGCCTTCTCTCCCTTTTGCTCATGCCATTCCTTACACATAAAATACCCCACCTGCCTCCCCATCGTCCTTCTGCCAGAGGCCTTTGTGGGTCCAGCTCCCACCCCCAGGGTCTTTTTGAGATTACCCCCCATTAACCCGCATATCTCTCATGTGTATATATATAGTTGTATGCACGTTGTCTCTCCTACCTCCGTGGGGAGCCGAACCATATTTTTGCCTTTCTTTGTATCCCCAGCTCTTAGCACAGTGCCTGGCACAGAGGAAGAGTTTAGTAAGTGCTGGTTGTGACTGACCTATTTAATTCCCACCAATCCTTTGAAGCCCAGATCAATTGCCGGTCTCTTCCGTGAAGTGCTCCCTGACCTTGTTCCTCCCACCCCTGCCCTGAATCAGTATGGATCGATCCTTCCACCCTCATACCTGGAATCTGACTTGCACCCCTTATACAGTTACCATGTTGTGTTATTGTTCCTCGTATATATATGTATATATGTATATACGTATATATGTATATATATATATCCTCATATATATATATATATATGTCGTCTTTTTCTATTTGATTGTCTGGTGGATAACCCTCATTTTTGTTTCTTCTCCAAACCTCTACTGAGTGGATACTTAACAGGGGACATTTAATGTTGATTGAATGAATTAATGATAGACATTTTGGGAAAGGTTCTAAATAAGTTTTGTTCCCTTGTCCGTCCCCCCACCCCATAGCTAGAGACAAACTGTGGAGGGCACAAGCCTCCTTTGTGAACCAAAACTAAATTGATCTTCTTCTACAATTCATAAACGAGTTCTGTCACTAGCACTCCATGAAGCCAGGGACTTAATTAACCTCTTGCCTCCCCACCGGCAAGGGCCTTGCGTGACTTGCTTTGGCAAGTGGTGGCTTCTTAATAGATTGTTGCTGTCACTTATCACAGGGCTGGGAGGCAAGTTCATAAAGAACGCTATTTCCTGTTTTTTCATTTGAAATCAATGTAGTAAGCACCAGAAAATCAGAGCTGCGTTGAATATCAATGAAGGAGTGGTTGAGCAAAGACAGAGAACCTGGGCCTTTAACTTAGCAGGGCTGTGTCTGTGTGACGGGCATTCAAATACTTGAAAATCAGGTAAAATGAGATAATATTTGTAAAGCACTTTGCAAACTTTAAAGTGCTATAGAAGTGCTTTTGTTGTTCAGTCATTTCAGTCCTGTCCCACTCTTTGTGACCCATTTGCGGTTTTCTTTGCAAAGACACATGGTTTGCCGTTTGCCTCTCCAGCTCATTTTATGGATGAGGGAACTGAAGCAAACAGGGTTAAGTGACTTGCTCAGGGTCTCATAGCTAGTAAGTGGCTGAGGCTGGATTTGAACTCATGAAGATGAGTCTTTCTGATTCCAAGCCCAGTGCTCCATCCACCGTACCACCCAGATGCCCTTATATAAATGCCAGCTATTTATCCTCCTCCTCCTCTTCCTCATCATCATCCTCATCATCACCATAATCACCATAATCACTACCACCACCACCCCAAGTCTTTTTTTCCAGGCAAATCATCCCCATTTCTTTCAAATGATCTTCATCTTATGTGATCTCCAAGACATTCACCATCTCCTGACCGCTCTGCTCTGTTCTGCACAAGCTCCAGCTTGCCAAAGTACTTCCTAAAACATGGCACTGAGTATGGAATAGAATATGGCAGAAGTAGGCTAACCAGGGGGACTGTGTCCTCCCTGGTCTTGGATACCAGGCCTTTCTGAATGCAGCCTAAGATTGCTTTAACTTTCTTGGCTGCCACATCAAACTACTGACTCATATTGAATTTAAAAATTAAAATCGCCAGACCTTTTTTCAGATAAGCCCCCATCTTATTTCGGTGAAGTTGATTTTTTGAACTCATGGGTAAAGGTTGACATTTATCTCTACCAGACTTCCATTTATTTGATTTGACTCAGTGATCTTGCTTTTTGAAATCTTTCTGGATCCCTCTCTGCTGGGTATCATCTACAGATTTGATGAGCACATGATCTATGCTTGTATCCAAGTCATTGACATGCACACATTTAATAGCACGGGGCCAAGCACAGATTCCCCATATACAAAGTTCAACCTACTATAAAACATGGTGGGTGGTCTGTGAGAGTTTTTCCCAAACTCGTCACTCACTGCCAATTTAATGATGAGCTTAGGCAGGCCAGCATCACTGGGTCAAACTTGAAGCCTTTCTAGCATGATGGGGGCCTCCAGACTCTGATTTAGAATCTGGGTTTTGTGAACATCTGAAAACCAGGCTCACCTTGGCATCAGGAGGACGCTGTCAAGGTAGGACTTGAGTAAAGGCTACAGCTAGTAGGGCCAACTTTTTTGTATTGACCCATTCGGTCTGTCTATTTGATTTTTTCACTTTTTAAATTTTTTTTTATAAACTGACAATATCAGCCTATTATTTCCCCATAATACAGTCACAACTCTCATTCCAATTAGCAAGATCTCCTCAGAAGTAACCTGTGTTTCTCAATTCTGCTTACCAAGGCTGGAAGCAAATGGAACAATTTTATGAAGCCAGCAACCATTGTAACTTACTTATTAATCTTCCAGAATCATGATCTCTTTCCATCCTCCAATCCGTGTATATCACTTCCCCATCCTAAAACATTACAGAAGTCTCATAAGTGTAATGACAACATAATAGAAAGATAAAATTCTTTAGTAATGCTCTTTGACTATAATGGCATTTACCATAATACCACACCCCCCAAAAACTGAATTTAGTGAAAAGCCAATTAATACAGTTGGAAAAAGAATTAGATATTATTTAATGCCATTTGGAGCCTCTCCCAAATGGTGGATTAACTGAATTTTTTATTCTTCAACAAGTTTTCACACACATATATCCATTATTCAGGTGATGCATTAAAAAATTAAGCAACCTCCCAAAACTGTGCTTGCTAGTTCTAGGTAAGTGGGCAGCTTGCTGGGTTTTCTTCTTTGATCCAAGTCCAGATAATTGCCCCAGTTCTGCATGCCAGGTTTGCCTGGCAGATTGTTGGCAAATAATGGCAAATTTCTGAATAAAAATGGAAAATATGGATGTTTTAAAACTTCTAGATGTTTCTGTCTTGAATAGACAAAGGCAGTGTGATATAGTAGAATGAGAAATGGACTGGAAGTCAGGCTAGCTGGGTTTAATTTCATACGTGATAAGAAAGTGGCTCCATGACCGCTTGTCAGGTGAGATATGCCAAGTCCTTTGTAAACTTTAAAGTGCTACAGAAATATTAGCTATTATAATATGGCTATAGAAATATTACCTGTTCTGATTTTCATTGTTTTTCTGGCTAAGGGAATTCTTGCTCAAATATGTGGACTGGATCTTGAAGGTCCCATCCAACTCTGATGCTCTGTGATTGTAGGGTTACCTAGAATTGAGATGACTACCTAGAATGGGAGATTCTCTTACCTTCTTAGTGCTACAGTTCTGTGCTCTGTGCTGCTTGACTCAAGGCAGTGTGGTATAGGGAATAGAGTTCTGGACCTGGTGCCAGAAAGACCTGGGTTAAAACCCAACTTAGATGCTTTCTTGGCTATGTGAAGATCTTTCAGCTTTCAATGTATGGGCCCACGATATTACATTAGCTGTAGTAATGTCTTCGTGGGATTGTTGTGATGGTCCCATAATACAATGTATGTAAAGAATTATATACACCATAAAGCACATTATGAATGTCATTCCTTGGTATTCTCGACCTTCCTCTACTGTTAACTGGCAGTGTGACACTCATCTCTGAGGCTCAATTTCCTTCCTGGTTAAATGAAGAGGCTGGATTAGAGATAATGTCCAAAATCAACATTCTTTAACTGTAAATATTCTAGCGATTGAATGAATGTTTCAGTTTATATCAATGATAAATCAGTTTCTCTGTAGTTTTTAGAAATAGGAGCAGGCTACATAACTTTCAGTTAAATGAACTTCTCTAGTTTGGGGTTTTAAAAAACCAACAAAAATCATTTTTTTGGAAACTTTAGGATGGGATTTAAAGCTTTTTTATATTGAGGGCCAGGAAAGTTTGAAGAGATATCAGAGATCTAAAGCATAAACAAGAAAAGGAGAAAATGGTAAGTAATTGAGACAGCTGGTTGGCCAAATAAATAGTGTGTTAGGCCTAGAGTCAGGAAGATTTAAGTTCAAATTTACCTTCAGACACTTGTTTACCTGGGTGACCCTGGGCAACTTTAACTCTATCAACCTCAGTTTCCTCATCAATAAAAAGGGGATAAAAAATAGTCCTTACCTCATAGAGTTGTTGTGAGAATCAAATGAAATAGCATACATAAAGTACTCTACAAACCTTAAATTGCTATATAAATGCTATTAGAACTATTAATTAGATGAACTGGATAAAGACTGAATATTAGAGCCCTACATAGGAGAGTTTCTTTTTGCTTCAGGTTTTAGCTGGAATCTGCTCACTGCCAGTGAAAGGTAGATGAGTTGAGAGGGTTCTGCACGGGGAGTCCAGGTCAGAAGCCTACCATAAATAATCAGGCCCTCCAAGCAGTCAACAATTCACTATAGCAGTTGGGCAGAAGACATGGGTCACGATGACAAGAAAGTAAGGGGAGCAAGGGCCATTTTGCCATGGTCCTTGCAGAGAACACACAGGATGTTTCTGTTTTATGACAGTACCAAGTAACAAAATGCAGGTTTTTCCTTGTACTAGAGGAGGTGGTGAAAAGCCTGGAGAAACATCTTTGGGTCATCATGGAGAATGGAGAGTTCTGGAAAGAACTGAAGCACTTGAACAACGAGGAAAAAAGATCAGAGGAGGCCCAGGGGAATCCTGGCTTCATCAGGAGGTTTGAGGCTGGAAAAATGGGGCACAAGGAAGGAAAGAAGGAAGGAAGTATCATGGCATGTTTGGAGCTGAACAACTGATTTGAGGCTTTCACCTTAAAGCAGGGACAAGACTCTCAGAGGAGGAAACAGCTTCTTGTGCTTCAGGAAAAGATGGCAATGAGGATCCACAGGTACTATTAGGACAGAGGCTATCTAATAATATTTAGAGGAAAACTCCAACTCATCTGTAAGATGGGGATAATCTGTAAAATGATAGTCGTGGGAATCTATACAATGGGTTTTCTCATTTGTAAAATGGGGATAGTAATAGTAGCTACCGTAGATAATATTTGTAAAGCAAACCTTAAAGCACTATACAAATGCTAGTTATTATTATTATTGTTAGCACCTTATAAATGCTAGTTATTATTATTGTTGAATTTTTCCTGCATTTATGTCTCTTCTCTTGGGTTAGTTCAGCTCTTTGAGGACAAGGACCATGCCTTAGACTTTGCACAAGTAACTAGCACAGTGCCATAAATATGGTAGGTGATCAATAAATACAGTATTTGATCATTGCTCAAGAGACTTGGTTTCAGCAGTAAATGACAGATTTCATGACCTTTTTTATGTTCACAAAAGAACCCTTAGACTAGAAAGAATGATATAGCAGGTTAAAAAAAAGTTTCTAAAGCAGTTAGATACACTTAAAATATCAAAAGTTTGTAGGTATGAAAATGGCAAATTCTTTTCAACAAAGAAAATATAAAATGTGTCCCAGTTTCTGTGCTTTTCTCCCAACTCAACACTCTTTCAACTTACTTCTGTTCCAATGAAGAACTTTGTGTTATAATCTTCTATTGGCTTGAGGATTTTGGCCAAACCGGATTCTAGGTTGTGGTAAGGGTCCTCTCCTGCAATCTGGGCTTTCTGCTGGAGTGTCTGGGCGTCTTTCAGAAATGTTTGGATAGAAGAAATACATTTTTTATGGTTAAAAAGACAGGTCACAAAGCAATGTTCTTTAAATTGTTCCTAATTAAGCACAAACCACGACAGTTATTTCTGATCAAAATGGAGCCCAGAAGCATTTGCTCTTCTGTGATAGGTCAGGATTTTCTAAGTCAACCATCATGTCATCAGCAAATACTTTTTGTTTAGCTTTATGTCTTTAATTTTTTCCATTGTCTTCTCTTTTTTGCTGGCATTTCTAGGATGACGTCAAATAACACTGGAGAAAGGAGCTGTCCTTTCTTTATTCAAGAATTTATTGGAAAAGCATTTAGTGGTCTCCTAGTGCATAGCAACTGGCTTTTGATTTAGATCAGAGTGAGCAAATTACAGCCTGTTTTTGTACCTGCTTAGAACTAAGAATGGTTTTACATTTTAAAATGGAAAAAAAAAATAATTCTTAGCTTAGATGGTGCACCAAATACAGTTGCTGACCCCTGATTTAGATATATACTATTTATCATTTTTAAAAAGATCCTTCAATGCCTATGTTTTTCAAGGCTTTTTAGCATAATTAAGTGTAGTACTTTGTCAAAGGCCCTTCCTGTGGTTTTGGTTGCTTTTGTTTTGATCACAATTAATTATATTGTTTTCCTAATGTTGAACCATCTTTGTATCCCTAATATAAATCCAACTTGACCATATTGAATAATTTTTGGACATATCATTGCAGGCTTTTTACCAGGATTTTATTTTAAAATTTTCAATAGATATTTATTAATGATGTTGGCTTTAAGTTCTCTTTCTTTGCTTCATCCTTCACTTGTTACTATGATTGTATTTGTTTTATAAAAGGAGTTTGGTAGGGTATGTTTTCCCATCACTTTTTGAGAAAAAATTGTGTAGTATAGGTGTTAATTGTTCTGCAAAAGTTTGATAGAATTCTATAAATCCTTCTGGACAAGTTTTAGTATTTTTTTTTTTGTAGTTCCTTTATTTTGACTAGTTCAGTTGCTTTTTCTGGAATTATATTTTTTTATGATTTTTATTTTGTATTTCTGCTCATCTGGGCATTTCATATTTTGCAGATAATCTTTAGTTCTTTTAAATTCTCAATTTTATTGATCCATAACTACATAAAGTAAGTTCTGATAATTTTTTATTTTTTTCTATGTTTATTGTGACTTCACTTATTCATTTTAAAATTTTGTTAATTTGATTTTTCTGTCCATTAAAAAAATTAGGTTAGCTTAAGGTTGGCTTAAGGTTTCTCCCTTTTTTGAAAAAAAAATAGATTTTATGAACATCTAAATTATTTGATTTTGAATATTTGAAATTCTTTGGTCCTGGTGATTTTTTGTTTCTCTCTCTCTCTCTCTCTCTCTCTCTCTCTCTCTCTCTCCCTCTGTGTGTGTGTGTGTGTGTGTGTGTGTGTGTGTTTACATAAGAGTTTGCCATTGACCTATTCAGGTCAAATTCTGTTTCAAGATGTCGACTTTCTTTTTTAGCTTATCTATTTCTAGTTGTGTTACTTTGGGTATTTTTTGCAAGTATTCATCCATTTATTTTATATTATTGTTTTTGTTGGCATGTTAACTGTGTCCACTGCTCTCTAGCAATTTCCTTTATTTCTTCACTCTCTGTGGTAATTTCACACATCTTCTTATCATTCCACCTTTCCCAGGTTTGACATCGATTTTGACCTTTGCTCTAACTAATCAATAATGTAGCTACATTCAGACATCTTATTATGAAATGACTTCCACCCCAGAACACAATTGTTTCCTTCCTTCCTCATTAAAATAATTAGTATTTCACAGCAAACTTAATATAGTTCATCTCTTCTTGTTCAAAGTAACAATCTATCCTTAGGACAATAATATCAGTCAATCACTCACCAAGCATTTATTAGGTTCCTACTATATGCCAAAGATCTGTTACTCTTCTGCATGGGGGGCTTTCCCTGTCCTAATGCAGATTACGAAGTTCATCTAATTGAAGTTGCCAGAGGCTCGGAGAGGTTAAAGAATTTGCTCATGATCACATAACTAATGTATGTCAGGGGTAGAATTCGAATCCAACTCTTCCTGACCTGAAGTCCTGCTCTCTATTCATTGTGCCATGTTTCCTCTCAGTGGTTACATGATACTATTTTATATATTAGGTTTTTTAAAAAGGCTAGGTAGGACCCCTGAGAACAAAACCATGATGCAATCATTCTTTGTTTGTCTATTTGTTATCTTCTCACCCTTTGGGGAGCATGAGAATTGAATTTAGTCCAATACACTTGTCCAGCAAAATCACTAACTGAAAATTTAAAAAAAAATCTGGTCAGACTCAAGATGAAATGTCATTTAGTTTTTTAAAACCTTGTGTTTCAAAACCTGGATTCAGTCCTAACCCTTTGTGTAGACAGCTCTACCACAGTGAACACTACTTCTGAAAGCTCCATTTTTGTGGTTTCAACTCTACTTTTCTTACAATTAAGCTAGAACACATTAGGTGAAGTTTGTGAACAAAAACAGTTTGCTCAGACAATAGCAGCACCTCAAACTACCTATTCAAGAACCTTCTCAAAGAGGTGGGCTGTTACCTTGAATGTGGTAATGGAGAAAATCATCTCTCAAGCTGATTTTGACTGGGCAGTGGTCTAAAGTTGTGCCACTTTTAGCCAAGGTTATCTTTTTGAGGAGAAAAGAAAAAAATAAAAATTCTTGGTACATTTACTTAAATTATTCTTGAGAATAATTCTTTTTTACATTCAATTTTAATTTTATTTTTTCTCAACTACATGTAAACAAAATTTTTAACATTTATTTTTAAAATTTTGAGTTCTATATTCTCTCCCTACCTCTGTCTCACCCCTTACTCTTCTTGTTTGAGAAGGCAAACAATTTTATATAAGATCATCCATGTGCAATCATGCAAAACATTTCTATGTTAGTCATGTTGAAAAAGAAAATGCAGACCAAAAAAACCACAACTCAACCAAGAATAATAAAGTTTTAAAAAGTATGCTTCAATCTACTATCAGACTCCATCATTTCTTTCTTTGGAGGTGGATAGCGTTTTTCATCATAAGTCCTTTGGAATTGTCTTGGATCATTGTATTGCTGAGAATAGCTAAGTCATTCACTGTTGATTGTCATATGATATCGCTTTTATTATGTGCAGTGTTCTCCTGGTTCTGCTCATTTCATTTTGCATCAGTTCATGTAAATCTTCCACAGTTTTTCTTATAACATCCCGCTTGTCATTTCTTACATCACAATAGTATTCCATTATAATTATATACCACGACTTGTTTAGCCATTCCCCAATTGATGGGCATTCTCTCCATGACCAATTCTTTGCTACCACAAAAGAGCTGCTATAAATATTTTTGTATATATAGGTTCTTTTCCTTTTTTTATCTCTTTAGGGTAGACACCTAAGTAGTGGTATTGCTAGGTCAAAGGGTATGCACAGTTTTATAGCCCTTTGGGCATAGTTCCAAATTGCTCTCTAATTGCTCTCCAGAATGGCAGGACTAGTTCACAACTACTCCAACATCAGTGTCCCAATTTTTCCATATCCTCTCCAGCATTCATCAGTTTCTTTTTCTGTCGTGCTAGCCAGTCTGATAGGTGTGAAGTGGTATCTCAGAGTTGTTTTGATTTACACATCTCTAATCAATAGTGACTTAGAGCATTTTTTTTCATATGATTATAGATAGCTCTGATTTCTTCTGAAAACCGCCTGTTCACATTCTTTGACCATTTGTCAATTTGGCAATGACTCATATTTGAGAAATGAGGCATTTTTAGAGAAACTCGACATAAAATTTCCTCCGCCCCCATTTTCTGCTTTCCTTCTGCTACGTTGGTTTTGTTTGTGCAAAACCTTTTTAATTTGATTAATGGAAACTATCCATTTTCTCTCCTGTAATGTTCTCTATCTCTTGTTTGGTCATTTCTTCTTCCCTTATCCATAAATCTGATAGGTAAAATATTCCATGCTGAGAAGAATTCTCACTCTTTTTACAGAATACAACCACTCATTGAATTGAATGAGAATCATCTGTCTTTCAAGCATCCTGTCCAGGAATCCACCCCCAAGGCTGCTTAGCCTTTTCCCTGTCTCTGCTGATGACAGCAGCCCAGGTGTTCTGGTGGCCAGTGTGGGAAACTGTCTGACTCAATATTCCTTCCCTGCTCCCCTTCCATCAAAGGTATCATACACGCATATTTGTTCTCTTCCCTCTGTCTTTTGTCACTTAATCATCGCTCATTTAATTTGTTTTTTTTGTTTGTTTGTTTGTTTTAGGCAAATGGGGTTAAGTGACTTGCCCAGGGTCACACAGCTAGTAAGTGTCAAGTGTTTGGTCTGAGGTCGGATTTGAACTCGGGTCCTCCTTACTTCAGGGCTGGTGCTCTATCCGCTGTGCCACCTAGCTGCCCCTGCTCATTTCATTTAACTTCAGGTAATTTCTATGTCTTCCTTAGAGACACTCACCATCTTTAATTCCGTTTCCCTCTCTGAACTCTCATTTACTCTCAGTAGAAAAATCTGCCTTCCTATCTCCCTCCATGGTAAGCTCTCTGCCTTTATTAGGAAAGTGTTAGTGGAGGCACTTTTCTTAAACCCTCCAAAATACAGTAAAATCTTTTCTGTAATTTCCCAAAATTTTCCTCCTGTCCTGGCTAAAGCCACTTTTCCTCAAGCACCAACTTCCATGAAAAGTAAGAAACCCACTTATTTCTTATTAAGTTACATTGTTTTCCATTTTGTTTAATAGTATTGTAACACTATTGCTTTCTACAACTTTCATTGCATTATCTATGATATTTTGGCTACATTACTGGCAAAATAAGCTTTTGTGAACTGAGAGCCTAACCCCAATTTATGATTTATGTTTCTGTGGGAAAACAAATCCCAAGTTCATGCAACTCACTGGCAAAGGGACTTTTCTAATACGACTTGTTCATAACAATAGGATCTCAGAACTGGGAGGTACCTTGGAGGCTACCTTGCCTACTTTACAGTTGAGCAAAAAATTTCCCCCACAGCACGCCCAACAAATGACCATCCAATCCAGCCTTTCCTTTCACACCTTCTGTGAGGGAGAATTTGCCACCTTTCCAGATGCCCATGCCACTTTCAGACAGTTAGACTTTTCAGGTAGTTGTCCCTCAGACTGTACAAAGGTCTATTTCTTTACTCCTCCCACCCATTGTTCCTAGTTCTGTCCTTCATGGCTATTCCCTCCCTCCTGTGGCAGCCTTTCAAATAATTAATGCCACCCCAAGGTCTTTTCTTCTGCTACTTGCATACCCTCATGTTGGAGATTGGCTTTATGTGCAACTGACTGCTTGTCTTCATTCTGTGCTAACATGATCACAGTTATCCTCATTTGAAGCATGTTACATGTCTCTATTAAGCTGGGTCGTCTTACTTTTTTATTTTTTTTTTAGTAAATCTCTATTGTGTTTATAAGTGAGTCAGTGTAGTGAGAACCAGCCTCAGAGAGTATTCAGGAACCTCCTGTGACGCATACTGCCTGTGTGATCCTGAGCAAGTCACAAAATTCTCTGGATGCCCAAGAGCTGCATTACTTCCTGGTGAACTCCCTTCCCTGATGAAAATCCGGGTTTGAATCCCACCCCCAACCCCAAAATACTTTATGTAATATATTCAATTAAAATGGAAGAATTTTTTTTGCCATAATACCTACCCTAATATGAGGCTTCCAAGAGAGATCTAAATGTAAAAAAGTAGAGGGCACATCATGAGGAACCTCAACACTTTCTTCTTTTTTTTTATCAGTTGATATTGGTGGAGGCCTTGTTGGTCTGATATCCCAGAAGTATATTGTGCTAACAGTGGGAAAATATACAAGTCATCCTCTACTTAAAGAAAATTATTATGATCTTAAACACCCATAAGCACAAACAATTCAATATGCAAAGAACAGAGAATTGTTTCTGAAACTTCTGTTATGTATAGTTTCTTTTCAAGCACATATTAAATTTAATAAGGTTGTTTGTATCCCTTTCTAAACTTCCTTCTCCCCTCTTCAGTGTATTTTTTAATATCTCATTGACAATGTTTTCTTTCTTTTCTCCTCTTTTTTCCTGTGTGTCACTTGCTGCCCCTCTGAGTCCTTTTTTGAAACAAATAAATATAACCAAGTAAAAAAGAAATCGACACATTGACTATGTCTAAAAATGTGGGTCTTATTTTGTACTCCAAGTCAGTCTTTGCCTAAAGTTTGGAAGCATGCTTCAGTGTCGGTTTTCTAATATCCTCATTTGACGTTGTGTTGATCAGGACTGCAAAGCTGTTGAAAGAGACATGGTGGATAGAGATGGGGACTTTAGTTATTCAGATATCTGCTGGAGCTTTCTTTCTGCCAAATTCAGAGCAGACAATAACCTCTTAGCTTCCTTTAATGATGATTTCATCCTTCAAAAGTAGAGGGACCAAGAAAGGGAAATAATATTTTGGATCTGATTCTCAGTAGTAAGGGGCACTGTTTTCTAGAGTAGAAATGATAGAAACCTTTGGGGAGAAGTAGCCACTCCCTTCCAAGTTTGTGATAGAAGAGAGGAAATCTGGTCATAGTCCAACATATGCCCTAGGTTTTTGGAAAGTGGATTTCAAAATAGTCAGAGAAAGGATAGGAAGATTCCCATGGACTTTAAAATTCCACTGGCGAAGTCATCCCAGGAAGTATTGGAGATACTCAAGAATGAAATTCTGCAGACACAAAGGCAAATGGTTCTAAGAAGGAGGAAAAATGGGATTTGTCTGAAGAGACTGATATGGATGTAAAGGGAACACCCCCACAAACCTAGATGAAAATATACATGTATATATACACATAAGTATATGATAAGAATGAGGCTAGATAACATAGGATGAACTTAAAGTATGGCACAATTCTATAAAAATGTCAGGAGTGCAAAAGCTCAGAAAAAAAGATGAAGATACTGCACAAGAAACGGGTTTGTTCATTTTTTTAATTGAGAGAAGAGAAAGAAAAATGAAAGAAAGCATGGGACCTTTACTTGAGGTAGATGGGACAGTGATAACAACAGAGAGAAAGCAGAATGGCTCAACCATTTTACTTCTGCTTTCCTTACCAACGAGAAGTATCTTCACACTGGAGGTAACAGAATAAAAAGGACTGAGAGAGAGTCAAAACCCAAGACAAATAAGTAAGAGATAGTAAGACAAGTGTGAGATAGTAAGAGAGTACCTAGTAGCCCTTAATTAATATGAGTTACCTTTACCTGGCTCTGATGGACCACATCTTCGGAGACTGAAAGAATTGGCAAATGTGAATGCTGAGCCATGCTCAGTAATACTTGAAAGATCATGGAAAATTAAATGGGTGCCACAAGATTGGAGAAGGATGACTGTTCCAACTTCCAAAAAAGGAAAGTGAATGGATTAGGCTAACCATAGACCAGTAAGCTTGACTTTGATTTCTGGGAAAATTCTTGAGTGGATCATTAAAGGGACGGTTGGTGAACCCCTGGAAAGGGAAGCAATGATTACAAAGACCCTGCCTGGCTTCGTCAAGAACAGATTAGGCCAGTCTAACCTCACTGCCTTTTGTGATAGGGTTACTAAACCAGTAGATGAGAGGGATGCTGTAAGATTAGTTTACCTATATTTCAGCAAAGATCTTTTGATAAAGTATCATATAATATCCTTGGAGAGAAATGAAGAGATATGGACTAGACAATAATACAATTAGATTAGGGATTATTAACCTTTTTCTATGTCATGGACCCCTTGAGCAATCTGATAAAGTCTATGGACCCTTATCAGAATAACATTTTTAAATGCATCAAATGAAATACCTAGTATTACAAAAGAAAACAAATATGTTGAAATACAGTCATCAAATATATGTGTATATATATACATATATATATATTTAAAACACAAGTTTAACCTGGACCCCACATCCAGAACCCCTAAATTAGATTAGGACTGGCTGAATGGCCAAAAAGCAGTTGTTAATGGTTCAATGTCAACATGGCAGAAGCCCTCCATTGGAATACTCCAATGATCTGTGCTTGGCCCTGAGGTATTTGATGTTTTTTTTTTAATCTGTGACTTAGATAAATGCATAAATGAATGCTGATATTTACAGAAGACACAAAGTTGGGAGGTATCCAGAAAGATCTTATTTAACAGCCTAGAACACTAGGTTGAATCTAATAAGATCAAATTTAATAGGGATGAATTTGTAAGGTCTTGTATTTGGGTATTAAAAAAAACCCAAAACCAATCCTTCATAATTACAGGATGGGGGAAGCATCTGTATGCTTCCTGAAATAATTGAAATACTGAAATATAAAACTGAAATAACAGTTTTTTTAAAAAAAATATAGGTTTTGTGGCCAGTTAAAAATTTGTACTCATTATTAATAATATGAATATAGTTAAATATTTTCTATTATTGTTGATAGTAGCTTACATTTCTATTAGATTTTTTGGTTTATATTGTTTTCTCTCTGTTGTCTCACTTGATCCTTTAAGTTATGAATACCTTAAATTTAGAAGCAATAGAATATCTAGAAATGAACATACTGCTTTTAAGTTATTTTATGGGTGGGGGTACATGCTTATCTCACTTGCAATAGAATGTGAATTATAGCATGACTAATAACCCAGCAGCAAGCTCCAATATTCCACTCTTTCATTATTGAAAATTAAATTAATGCCATATAGGCTGCGCCTCTTCAAGGAAAAATAAATGACAAGAGCACTTATTAGATTCTCATCAGAATTCCACATATTTTGTATAAGTGTAGATGATTACAGGTTTAAAAAATATAAATACCAGTCTATTGAACATGTTACAAGCTGGCAACATATTCCACTTCGATTCTCAAAAGCATATCCCATTCTGTTGAGCTAAAAAAGAAAGAAAGAAATGGTTTAGGAAAAATGACTTCCAAAAACAGATATATTCCTAATACAGTAAGTAATTGAATTTGTTATTGTTCAGTTGTTTTTCAGTTATGTCCGACTCTTCATGATCCCATTTGTTTTTTGGGTATTTTTTGAGACAGTGTGGGTTAAGTGACTTGCCCAGGGTCACACAGCTAGGAAGTGTTTGAGGCTGGATTTGAACTCAGATCCTCCTGACTCCAGGGCCAGTGCTCCAGTTAGCTGCCCCTATTTTTTTTTTTTGACAAAGATCCTGGAGTGGTTTGCCATTTCCTTCTCCAACTCATTTTACAGATGAGGAAACCGATGTAAACAGGGTTAAGTGACTTACCCAGGGTCACACAGTTAGTAAGTATCTGAAGCCAGATTTAAATTCAGGAAGACTCATCTTCCTGACTTCAGGTTTGTCGCTTTATCTACTTAATTGAATCAAGTGATCATTTTAAAAGAAAACCTTGCTAGACATCTAGCTTGTGAATCCTTCAGCCACTATATTGGGAAAAGAGGAGGGTGAGAGAAGGGATAGAGCCGCAATTCAGAGTGAATGGGATGATGATAACTAACATGGGAAAGAAAATAGAGCCACTTTTGTTTTCTCGGCTAAGGAGAATGATCTTTGGATTCACAGATGGACAAAAATGGCTAACGAAAGGAGCTGGAGAGAGCACCCAGCCAAGCTGCCATGGATGAGTTCGAGTCAGCTGGACCAGATTAATCACATTCCAGGATATGGACAAATTGACGAGTCACCGTCAGTGACTGTCAAAAGCCCCTGCAGAATGGGAGAGAGGCCCCAGCATCGGAGAAGGGGAAGTGTTGACCTGGGAGTCTACATGCTGCAGACTAAGGAGCTTGACTTGGATTTCTGACAAAATCTGAATTTCCTATTAAAGGCACTTAGAAGAGGAAGCAAGTCCTCACAAAGAGTCATCATAGCTTCACCAAGAACAGGTTACACCAGAATAATTCCGTTGGTGACTAACTTCATCTAGTAACAGGATATTAGACTGGTAGATTGGGGGCAAAGCTTCCCTACCTGCAGGAAGTGATGCAGTGGGAAAAGTCCTAGTTCTGGAGGTTGAGAACCCATGTTCTGATCCTGCTTCTGATTCTTACTAGCTTACTAGTGACTTTGGTCAAGTCACTTAATCTCCCTTGGCCTCAATATCCTCATCTGTGATCAATTACATCAGAAATATGACTGAAAACACGAGGGCTTGGATGAGATGGCTTGGGAGGTCTGTTCTTGATCTATGGTCCTGAGATTTCAGCAAACCAATTGACAAACACCTCTTACATTATTTTCATGGACAAGATGGAGAAAGACTCTATAAACAATGGTTGGAGTTAGGTGGATTCAGATTGAACTGAATAGCCAGACTCAGAGTTATTAATGTTTTAATTATTAATGGTATCAATTAATAATTAGCTATTAATGGTTTGGTGTTCACTTGGAAGGAGGTCTAGGCTAGAACCCTCTGAAGGAATACATGCTGGGCCCTGTGATGTGTGACATTTTTTTTAAAATCAATAACTTCTATAAAAACACAGATCGCCTACCTGTCAGGTTTGTGGGTGACACAAAACCAGAGGGGATGGCAAGCTCACTTGATCATAGAAGCAGGATCCCAAAAGATTTTGACAGATAAGACTAGGGATGGGGACTAGAAGTGAGATTTAATTGATAAAGGGAATTCCTGGATGAACAAATTCCGTTTACCAATTCAGGCTGGCATTTTCTCTGGAGCTCATAAAGTTGCCTAGAGCACTGAGAAATGATGTGACTTGCCTCATTACGTGTCAGATAAAATGGGTCAAATCTAAGATAAAATTTAGTAGGGACAGATGAAAAATATTTTCCTCGGGTTCAAAATATCAAGTCTACAAGATGGGAGAGGTGAAGCTAGAAAGCAGTTTATCTGTCAAAGAAGTAGAGTGGCAGAGATGTAATAAGGATAGGGCAGCTGAGGCCCTGCCCCAGTGCCAACATGTGGGGGGCTGCAGACACCGCCACACCAGGTAGTGAAGAAAGCAAATGAGGTAAGTCAGACTCAACCTGTTCTTGAGAAAGCCATCAATATCCCCTAACCATTTCTATAGTGATCAGTTCTAGAATTTTCCTAGGAATTGAAGTCAAGCTCACTACCCTATAGTTTGCAAACTCTGTTCTTGAAAATCGGGACATTTATCCTTCTTTGATCTTGAAAGACTTCTCTTATTTTCCATGATCTTCCAAATATTGCTGTAAGCATATCAGCCAGTTCTTTCAGTCCCTGAGAACATAGCTCACCTGGACCAGGTGGCCTGAATTCATCACTGTGCCTCACCTGCTTCCAACCAGTTGCTAGGTATTTTTACCTTTACAACATCTCTTGCATCAGACACCTTCTTTCCACTCACACATTCACCACCTTATTTCAGACTTTAATAACCTCTCACCCTAGATTACTGCATCATCTGCCTCACTGCTCTTACTAAACCAAACCATGTTACACACTGTTGCCAAAGTCATTTTCCTTGAGTGCTGATCTGACTGTGGGACTCCATTCAAGTCAGCATCCATGGTCCCTTATTGCTGGAGCATAAGCCATTGCAGTCAGTGGGTGAATAAACATTCATTAAGCACCTAATTTGCACCGCCAGGCACTGTGCTAAGTAGCAGAGATAACAAAAAGAGAGGAAAGACAGTCCCTGGAGGAATTCACAATCTCATACTTGAGACAACAAGCAAACAGCTATATACAAACAGTATGGGATAAATAGGAGATAATCACAAGAGGGAAGGCACTAGGATTAAGAAGTCTTGGGAGAAGCTTCCTATAGATGATGAGATTTTAGTTGGGATTTAAAGGAAACCAGGGAAGCCAGTATGTGGAGATGAGGAGGGTCAGCATGCCAGGCATGGAGGACAGCCAGAACTGAGAAATGGAGTTGTTTTTTTTTTCCCTGGAAGAGCAAAGAGGCCAGTGTCACTGGATCAAAAAATATATGAAGGGGAGTAAGGTATAAGAAGATTGGAAATGTGGGAGGGGGCTAAGTCATGAAGGTCTTTTGATATTGAACATAGCATTTTGTGTTTAATCCTGGAGGCAATAGGGAGCCCTTAGAGTTTCTGGAGTGGCTGGGGTGGGGGGGTTGACATGGTTGGATGTACAATTTGGAAAATCACTTTGGTCTAAAAGTAGGGATAGTTTCATTCTTTGTCCTTCTGTAGTAGGCAGCTAATAAGTGCTTAATTGATTCATGAAGGGCAATTAGATATTGTCTTACTATCTCCCTGCTTATCCTAGGTATCAACTCCCTATCAGTCAGTTTGTTTGTTGTGTCATTTTCAAGGGTCATTCATAAAGAAAACAAAAACAAAACAGGGAAACATAAGAGTAGAGCTGACCCTTAGAAGAAGTAGAGGAGTAAGTGGGAACAGAATGGCTGTCCTTGTCCCAGTGTGATTACATTGGCTTCCCCAGGGAGATTAGGTGAGAGAGAAAAAAGGTCAAGGACCCCCCGAGGATGGGCTCCTTTTCCTAGCACTCTTCACCCCAGGTTGGACCTGATGATAGCGGTTGTCCAGCTTTTGTCTGAAGCCCTCCAGTAACAACAATAAACAAGAACAACAACAACAATAACTGACATAGATACAGTGCTTTAGGGCAGCTGGGTGGCTCAGTGTACAGAGCACTGGGCTTGGAATCAGGAAAATTCATCTTGATGAGATGTTAGGGGAATAAATTCATATATTTGTGATCCCTTTGGAAATAAATATTCATGATTTCAGTCAATTCCCTTAGGACCCTGGGAAATTTTTCTAAGTATCCCTTTAATTCACTGTATAAAATAATCATCACTTGTCTTTACTGCATGCTACTGCAAGGTTCTTTCCAAATGATGTCATTTATACCCAAGGAGGAATTTTTGCTCCTTCAGATAGCATATGATTTTTTAAAATAAACTTTTGTTGAATTTTCAAATGCTAGAATCTTCCAATTAGAAAGACCCTTAGAGGTTGTTTAGATTCAGACCTATGCAAAGTGTGCATCTCCTCTACAACATTACTTGGGATTTATACTGTATTTCTTGTGTGTGTATTGTCTCCTCCAGTAGAATGTAAGCTTTTTGAGGGCAGGGACTGTTCTTCTATCTTTGTATCACCAGAATGTGGCTCAGTGCAGGTATAAATGCTTGCTGACTGATTGATACAACCTATGCAGGCAGGTAGGGTAGTAGAATGTGAATGAACCTTGGAGCCCAAGGACATACCTCAGAGTCCCAGCTGCTCCTGCGTGGGTGACTGTCCATTTTCTCTGGCTGTCCCCCAGGCCTGGAACACTCTCCCTCCTCATCTCCCCTTCCTGGCTTCTTTGGCTTTCTGCCAGTCCCAACTTAAACCCCACCTTCTGCAAGAAGTCTTTCCTGACTCCTCCTTAATGCTGGTTGTCCCCAGGTTATTCTGTATGGATCTTGTACGTCCAGAGCTGTTGGCAGGCTTTCTTCCCTATTAGACTGTGAGCTCATTGAGTGTAGGGAATGTTTTTGTCCTTCTTTGTATCCCCAGTACTCAGCATAGTGCCTATCCTGTGTGTCTAGAAGCACATAGTAGGTGCTTAATAAAAGCTTATCAACTTGATTTGACTTGAAATACTCTGTATTTTCTGGCCAAACTGGACTACACCCTATACCCTTTCCTTTTCTCACATCAGCTTTCATTCTCAGATTCCCTTTTCCATCCCCAGGCCACCTCCACATCTTGTCTGTTGTAATCCCAACCTGGCTTCATGTAGCTTTCCCTGACCACTCTCAAATGAAAGTTATTTCTTCCTCTTAATTTTCCCTTAAGAACCTTTCATTAGATTGTAAGCTCCTTGGTGGGCAGGAACTGTTTTTGCCTCTTTTTGTAACCCTAGTGCTTAGTACAGTGTTTGACACATAGTAGGTGCTTAATAAATGTTTATTGATAGATTGATAGAGTAGATGTTTAATAATTGTTGAATCGAACATTTGCCCATCTCCAATCTTTGGTTTCAGTGTTTCCCTTTTTAAATCATGTGTTAGGTAACTCTTCTGTAGTGATAAGACTTAATATTACAGGCAGCAGAGAGCTAGCCTTAAAGCAAGAAAGATCTGGATTCAAGTCTTGATTTCAAGCTCGCTGGCTCTGTAACCCCAGATAATGAATTCACTTAACTTTTCAATGGGCCCGGCAACTCTCAAAGACTGTAAGTTGCAGAGAAGGTAGCAACCTGTATTAGTAGAGGGAGTTTTCTCACTTGGGAATTCCATATACCAATGAAATCAAAGGCTCAGTCCCTATCTCTGTTAGGGGGAAAAAAAAGAGCAATGTTGTAGGAAGACCTGGGTTCAGATCCTACCACTTGTACTAGTTGCATAAACCTGGGTGAGTCACTTAACTGCTGAGTGCCTTGGAGAGTTCCAGAGACCTTCCTATTCAGTCACAGGTTGGTTGCAATCAGTTGGTACAAGGAGTTTGCATGCTGGGAGTTTCTGAAGCTGACACAATGCCATAGTAGAAAATTATTTTTTTTTTTAGTCCAGGAAGCACAATCTCATCAGGTTGGTAGGCTATCTGAATTGGAGTCAGTTAACTTAGGGTATGTTTTAGACTTTGTTACTATCCTGATTTCACAGAATCTCAGAGCCAGAAGGGGCTTTCCAAGTCATCTGACTCATCCCCAAACAAGAATCCCCTACACAAACAGAAGGTTTATGGCCTTGTTTGTCATAAATGCTGAATAAAATGGCATGAAGTCAATGTTGTCATTATACAATAGCGCAGTAGATTTTTTTAAAGGTATAAAAACATGAAATTCAGAGGCATGATTCTTTTGTGATTTAAAACTCCAATTAGAATAAAAAATGATTTGTGATTTAAAATGTACTATTACAAAGCTAAACCATTTCCACTATTAACTCACCTCAAAATTGTCAGTCAGCCAGTGTAAATCTGTGATTAGTTTCTTGTGTCCATGTTCTATCGATGATACAGCACAATGACTCACATATGGTGCCTCCTTATTACTGTCTGGTTCCAGTAGAAATATGGGCTAGAGGAAGATTTTAAAACATTTAAAAATAAGATCCCAGAACATAATTTCAGAGAATTAATAAATGAACTAATATGAAATATTATTTTAAACAGATTAAAATTACTCAGTTTGAAACTCATAGCAAAAATAAAAACATCTATATCAGTATGTCTGTTATTATGCCTCTACATCTTTCTGTGGGTTTTCCGTTTTCCTTTTTTAAAGAGACAGCATGGCATGGTGGATAGAAAGTGGGTGTTGAAGCCAGGAAGGCTTGGGTTCAAGTTTCACCCCTGACATATGCTTGCTGTGACACCCTGGACAAATCATGTAACCTCCCAGTGTTCAATGTAGCTAGACTAATTTATAAGCCTATGAATTGCAGAGGAGGTGTGACCTGCATTGGGTGGTGGAGTTTCATCATTTGGAAGTCCCTATACCAATTAAACCACCGGTTCAATCTTCATTCCTCCTTTTCCTTCAATTTCTTCCCAGATCTTACCTCTGAAGGTTGTCATCTTCACAAAAATCACCAATGTTTTTATATCTGTGAACTAATGGTTCTTCACTTGAAAATTTTGGAGTAATTAAATAATAAGGATGAAATCCCACCATGTTTTTAGAAATGAACCTATGAAGATAAGGGCTAATGACATGGGACAGCACCAAAGGGTCTGTTCAAGAATCTTTCTACAGTTTTCCCACTTATCCCGACTTCCCCATACTTCACTGTAAGCATGTCACTCTTGCTTTTATAGGTTAATAATGCCACCTTTAGATAGCACTTTATAGTGGATGCCAATTTTCCTCATGACCAACCCCCTAGAACAAGAGCTCTTTGATGGCAGGGAATTTGGTTTTTCCTTTCTTTTATCCCTGTTTCTTAGCATAGGGTCAACACTTAATAATATATAATAGTAGAGTTCTGGACTTAAAGTCAGGAAAATCTGGATTTGAGTCTTATCTCTAACATTTATTAGCTATGTGACTGTGGGAGAGTTACCTAAAAATTTTAATACCTCAATTTCCTCTTCTGTAAGATCATACCTGTAGCACTGACAGGAAGATTTTTATGATGATGGTGATTATATAGTACTAACAACAATAATAACAATAATAGTAATAATGATAGTTAGCATTTACACAGGGCTCCAGGGTTTACAAAGCATTTTACATAGGTTAACTTGTTTGATCCTCACAAGATGCTATTTTATCCCCATTTTACAGATGAAGAAATGAGATTTTATATGTATGTATATATACATACATATACATATACATAACCACTTTGCAAACTGGAAAGCATTATGATAATGTCAGTTATGACATACTATCTCCATTTTACAGATGAGGACTTGAGGTACATTAAGGTTCCAAAGCTAAATCATTGGCAGAGTTGGCTGAGACTCAAACTCAGCCAGAGTTCATGCCAAGATTCTTTGTTGGGAAAAGGATATATAGGGAAACTTAGGTTTTTTTACTGGCTAAAATATAGTATTAAAGCTAGATGGGGGTGGAGAGTGGGGATGGGGTGGGTTGATGTTTAGTAAAGGCAAGAATGTGGGCCCAGGAAGACCCTTCCATTCACAAAGTGGACTGCCCTGGCCCTCACTAACTCCAGGGCATAGAAAACTGGAGAAGATATGGTTCAAGGTTCTCAGGAATCCCCCCAAAAGCATGACAGAAGTACCATATCTCTTCTTCTACCTTTGTCTTGCCTGAATGGTCCCTGTCTCTGTTGGCTGACTGGGGGTAAAGGACCACTTTCTTGAGAGTTGCTTCAGCATCTGGACTTCACTATCTCCTGGTGGTGCAACATGATGGGAGACAGCCCAAGGGGCCATTGCTGTCCACACTAATGGGACCAGCTCCCTAGGCTAGGACCAAGTTTCCCTCCCCACCCCTAAGCTGTGTTAGAGCTATACATCTTCCTTACAAGGGTGCCCCCATGTGTGATCTCTAGGAGTTTCCATTCCTCTCATTGATGATATGTATATTTGGGAGACAGTGTTTATGGTGAAATATTTTATCATTAATTTTCTTATTAGATGCTATTGCTTTAAACTAATTATTTCCTCTGACTAACTAATAAAAGTAAACAATGGTGGCAGCTTGCAAGGTATGGTTTTAAGTACCTACAAGTACAGAGTACTTTAAGCAGGTTTTGGGGTCCCCACATGCAAGATGGGAGAGCCCCAGGCACTATAGATACAAATTCCTAACCAAATACCCAGAGAATACTTGGGATAAGCTCTGTCAAGTAGCTGAGAAAACCTGAAAAATACTAGCATTTCTATTTATTGGGATCTTGTTAACCCTGATGGCTCTTTGCAATACTTTGCTTGAAAAATTATTGAAGGAGGGAGAAAATGAAAATAAAATCCCATGCTGAAACAAGTAAGGCTGGAAAATAACTGACCTTAAGTGTGGCTTTCTTACTGGTCCCTCCAGTTCCTTTGACATGGACAATGCGTTCACTATGTGCACTAATGTCCCATAAGACCACCTAGGGAAAAACTGAATGTTAGAAAGTAAACCATGTCCAGTGACAATGTTTAACTGGGAGATATCTCACTTCAAACATCAAGAGAATATGTGATTTCTGTTAGAGTTCATATTCTCTTCACCAACACAGAGTACAACTCCCTAGTGACTTGGTCAACAGCTTTCAGGAAATCCATCACCAGGTAGCCAGCCTGGTGGAACCAAACCGCATGGAGCTTAGCTAGGAAGGTCCTGGGTCAAGAGGTAAAGGGCACATCACTGCCTGCTCTTTTAAGCCTTTTAAGTTTGGTGGAGGCTTCAAGAACCCCAAGTCTTCGGGATAAGAATTCACTATTTGGTAAAAATTGTTGGGAAAGCTGGAAAGCAGTCTGGCAGAAATTGGGCATAGACCAATATCTTCTACCATTTAGATAAGATCAAAATGGATATATGACCTACATATAAAGAGAGATATAAGAAAATTAGAAAAACATGGAACATATTACCTATCAGATTTATGGATAGGAGAACAATTTATAAATAAACAAGAGAGATTAGAGAGCATTGTGAGGTATAAAATGAATAATTTTGATTACATTAAATTAAAAGTTTTTTATGCAAATAAAACCAATATAGCCAAGATTAGAAAGAAAACAGAAAATTGGGAAAATATTTTTATAGACAGTTTTTCAGATAAAGGTCTCATATCTCAAATATATAGAGGACTTTGTCAAATTTATAAGAATTAGAGTCATTCTCCAATTGATAAATGGTCAAAGGATATGAACAGGAAGTTTTTTAATGAAGATATGAAAAAATCCTCTAAATCATAATTGACTAGAGAAATCTAAATTAAAACAATTTTGACATATCACTTTATACCTATGAGATTGGCTAAAATGACAGAAGGGCAAAGTGACAAATGTTGGAGGGGAATGTGGAAAAATTGGGACACTTAATATGCTGTTGGTAGAACTATGAACTGATCCAACCATTTTGAAGAGCAATCTGGAATTATGTCCAAAGAGTTATAAAACTGCATATACCTTTTCACCTAACAATAATACCACCATTAGTTCTGTTTCCAAAGGTGATTAGGGAAAAAAAGAACCTATATGTTTTAAAATATTTATAGCATCTCTGTGGTGGCAAAGAACTGGAAATTGTGAGAATGACCATCAATTGGGGAATGGCTAAACAAGTTGTGGCATATGATTGTGATGGAATACTATTGTGCTGTAAGAAGTGATGTGCTGGCTGATTTTAGAAAAACATGGAAAGAATTGAATGAAATAATGAAAAGCAAAATGAGCAGAACCAAGAGGACATTGTATACAGTAACAGCAATATTATTCTAAGAACAACTGTGAATAACTAAGTCATTTTGAGTATTATAAATACTGAAATCAACTACAAAGGACCTATGGACCTATGATGGAAGATACTATCTGCCTCCAGAGTAAGGAATGATAAATTGCTGTATAACAATTACAAATTGCTTTTATACACACACACACAAACAGAAGTATGTATAGCATGCTTTTATACACACACACACACACATACACACACACATACACACATGCATATCTGTGTCAAATGGTGGCCTTTTCTAGTAAGGGCTGGGGAGGGATAGAGGAAAAAAATAATTAGTGCACAGCAGAGAACAAAAGAAAAAGTTAGAAGGAAGCACAGAAAAGCAGGGTAGCTTTGAAAACAATGTATAGTATTCATTATATAGTTTTGTAAAAAAAAAATAAACAGTGTGAAATGGAGACTCATGGTTTCACATTGAATCTTCTTTTTGTATTGTGCTGTGTATACGAAAATTTTGTCTTTTTGTATTTAAGTTCAAAACGAATTAACAAAAATGAAAAATAAAAGACCCCAGAGTCTGCTTCACACAATGATGACATATTAGAGCAGCTCTTCAGTGAAATGGTCAGACTTAGAGATGAGAGAGAAAAATATTATGTGTGATCTGATATTGCCTTGAGTTCTCATCTCCACAGGACTTCTGAAACTTTTTCAGCTTACACCCCTTTTTGAGTTTTGACGGCTTTCATTGCGGTTGCATGGCCTGAGGTCATGCGCAGTACAAAGTGCGCATGCTGTGTGTTCCAAACCAAGGTTGCGGTGAACTTGCATGATGCAACATGGGCAAGCACTGCCAGAAATACCTTGGATTCATCACGTGTTTGATTTTTAATTAAGTTTTAGTGTTTGTGCATTCAGAAACCTTTTGCTGTTGCCAAATCTTTTTGTGACTCCATATGGGGTTGTGACCCACAGTTTAAGAAGCATTGGATAGGACCTAAAATGATCAAGGGCCAGCCTTGTAGTTGAAAAGAGCTGGGTTCAAGGCCTTCTTGGGACATATACTGACTTGTGACCTGGGGCAAGTTATTTGGCTTCCCATTGCTCTTCAGCTACTTTTCAAGGTTATCAGTTGCAAGGCTGGCATATATCTGCATTGGTAAAAAGAAAGAAAGAAAGGAAGGAAGGAAGGAAGGAAGGAAGGAAGGAAGGAAGGAAGGAAGGAAGGAGAAAGACCTCTAAACCAAAAAAATGTTAACATTATGTCTTGATTATAAATCAATAAATCCATTTTAAAGTTTTGAAGTCGTCATAAATGCACGTAAGTTTTAATTATTTTGTTTTGATGCAATCTTATTATTAATAAATATGAAAACCCAACATCACTTTCAGATTCCTAAATTCTTCTATTCTTCAAATATTTACTTAGTGACCATTGTATCTGAGACATCGTATTGCTTAGATGTTTTGCTATGAACAGAACAGGAAGGCAATCCTGTGGTTCTCAATGATCTTTCCAGTGGTTTTTTCAGTCTTTCTAAATGTTCTATGTAATGGGAGTTATTGCTTTTGATTTAAGAGAAATGTGTCTTATTTATCATCAGTATGTCATCAGCATGATGTAAAAACCATTTATCAAAAATCATTGGAGGGAAAATGTTCTGGTCAATTTAAAGTTATCTCTTTTATTAATCTCTGTTAAGGAAGCTTGTATACACACGTGCAGAAAGACACCCTACTGGAAGAGGACCTTTCAGGGAGTTTTTGCTGGGCCCAGAATGGAAAAGGAAGTCAACAGTGTTCTTTATAGTCTTTGGGAAACTGCCAAGTTCTTTTAAGGAGCCAAAACTTCTCCTTGAAACAAAGGCCCATATTTTTAAATACCAACATTCCTTAAGAGGTGTTGAATGGCTGCAAGGCATGGAATACACCAGTCTCTGAAGATTTAAATTAGTTATGGATGAGCAATAAAGAGGAATCTAGTGGGTGTGTGCAGTCTGAAACACATTATAAACAAGGTATTACCCAGGAGAAATAATGTATGGATGTCATCAAAAATATATAATTGAAAAGGAAAATGGGCTGGTCATTTATTTATTTCTTTTTAATTTTTAATTTTTTGCTTTTTGGTGAGGCAATTGGGGTTAAGTGACTTGCCCAGGGTCACACAGCTAGTAAGTATTAAGTGTCTGAGGTGGGATTTGAACCCAGGTCCTCCTGACTCGAAGACCGGAACTCTATCTACTGCGTCATCTAGCTGCCCCTTGGGCTGGTCATTTGGTAAGAGCAAGGGATAACTGATAGACTGTGCATTCTATTTGTATCTTCCTGATGTCAAAAGAATTGGAGGAAGGTCCCAGCACATCAGATCAACCTGTTATGGGAAGAGTAATGGGGGATAGGAACAAGATTTACCTATGATGTGCAGGTTCTTATGGACTAATTACTCCATCATTATTACCAATGTGTCATTAAAGAGAAGACCCACAATGATGTGATCACAGATCCCCTGGAACATTAGCGCATAGTTAACTGAGAGGTATAATAAATACGATGTTCCCCAATCTTGAGAGAGACAGAACCTACTACACTCACTTCAGATTCTCAGATCTCACTTCATTCTCAGATCTAAAACCATAAATATCATGATGTGATTTCTGATGACCCAAACTAAACTTCAGAATTTTGCAATGTGGTGCTTATGGAAGGTGGGGATGGTACAGCCAATCATCTTATTTCTCTCTTTGCCTTTTCAATCTAACTTCACTTCCTTAACTCTTGCTCTCTTAGAAACACTTTGCAATCTGACTTCTGGCTTCACTCAACTGAAACTGATCTCTCCAAGGTTACTAACAATGTCTTAATCACCAAATCTAGTGGGTTTTTTTTTGGTTTTTTTTTTTTTGGGTAGGCTTCATCATTTTTGATCTCTCTGCAGCAGGTGACACTGTTGACATTACTCTCTTCTGGTTTTCCTCCTACATACCTGACCAGTCACCATTCCTTCTCAATCTCCTTGGTTGTGTCTTCATCCATATTAATCCTGCTAATTGTGGGCATATTTCAGGACCTTCTTCTCTTTTCTCTCTATACCCTCTCTCGGTGATCTCATCAGCTCCTATGGGCGCCATTGTCATCTCAATCCAGATGACTCCCAAATCTATATATCTTCACTCCAATCTCTCTCTTGAGATCTACTTCTATTCCTCGATGGCACATTGGATATTCTGAATCAGATGTCCTATGGGTATCTCAAACTCAGTAAAACAGAACTCAATCTTTTCCCTTCCCCCATCCCCAAACCTACCCCTCTTCTGAAATGTTGAAGATGTAACCCTACTTCTACTCACCCAAGTTCACAACTTTGATGTCTTTCTTAACTCTTCACCCTTACTCACCCCACATATCCAATCAATTACCAAATCTCGTTTCTATATCCGCAACCTCTCTGGCATATTTCTCCTCTCCATTCATGTAGTCACCACCCCAGTTCAGGCCCTCATCACCTTTCACCTGGATTATTGCAATAACCTTTCAATTGGTCTCCCTGCCTCAAGTTTCTCCTCTCTAATCCATCCTGTACAATGCTACCAAAGTGAGTTTCCTAAAGCTCAGATCCAACCATGTCGCCTTCTCTAACTTTTATCTTTGTATCCCTGGACCTAGCGCAGTTCCTGGAACATAGAACATGATAGGTGCTTAATAAATGCTTGATATGGTCAATCATGGTTTGCAATGTAAGAATTAATTTTATTTCAACAGATAATATAACTTTAAATAAATATATAACTTTAACTTTATGGATTATAGAATATGATTTAAATTGAACGTGTATTGAAAGGGATTAAGGAAAAATATAAACACTGTTTCATATCACAAGAACTATGTAAAAATAACTTGCAATGGCAATTTAACTTCTGGACCATTTAGAAAATTTACCTTTTGCTGCCATAGTATTTATGACTACAATACTTACTTCAGACACTTATTAGCTATGTGACAGTGGACAAGTCACTTAACCTTTTGATGCCTCAGTTTCCTCCCATGTAAAATAAGGGAGTTGTATTCAATGACCTCTGAGAGCGCTTCCAGATCAAAGCTATCATCTTACGATCCTATTTGCCCTTTCATGGGATCCTATGCTAATGTGTATTTTCAGTAATGAATAAAACAGGTCTCTCACTGTTGTGAGTATCCAGTTATGGTAATTAGGACTGCATTAATTTTGAGTAAAGCTACTTTGTTTTATTAGAAGTTCAACAGATTCTTATTAAAACTTGCTAGGAAATGTCATCTAAATTTAACATTGAGTTGGAGAAGAAAAAGTTGGCACATACCTGTCCATTTATACAGCCTCCAGCAATTATATCCGGGTTACTGGGACAGAACTGGAAGCAGAAGATGTCATCTGGGCTTTGCAGCATCAGCTATAACAGAACCCGTCCCAAAGGCAGAGAAGACACTGAGAAAACGCTATTGTTTTGTACCCTCCTGGCGACAGACAGTTACAGGAGCAAATGGCCCATAGGCCAATTCTCTAATGAACCAACTAATTGCTTTCTTCACACAAATAGAAGAGTTCCATCTCTAAGTCCATGCCTTTGGAATGAGAGCTGCTTTTATTGCTGCGCTTTCTCATTGGAGGATGAGGACAAGGTGCAAAAAAAGGAGACGCTTGATGGGCAGAGGCAGTTCTGAACCTCAGGATGTCAGAGAACGTCTGAGCACCAAGAGAGAAAATGAGAGTAGGTAGGAGATGATGGGTTCGAAAAGGGAGAAAGACCAGTGGCTATTGGACAGAGGTCTAGGGTGATTCAAAAGGGAGAGCCCATAAAACAGGAGTATTTAACTTGGGGTCTGTGAACCTGTCTTTAAAATGTTTTGGTAACTGTACTTCATTATAATTGGTTTCTTTCATAATCCAGTGCATTTTATTTTGTGCATTTAAAAACATTATTCGGAGAAAGGGTTCATAGACTTCACCTGACTGCCAAAGGAGTCCGTCACTGAAGAAACATTAGGACATCATGCCTTAAAAAAAGCCAAAGCCTGTCAATTTGGCATTTGGGACATCTCTCCCGTGACACCCCCCCCCCGATGTTGCCATCACTCCAGTGCGGACCCTCATAGCCTCTTACTGAAGATGGCTGGTCTACCTGCTAGTCCACCCTCCACTAAGCTGTCAAATTAACCTTCCTCAGGAGCGCATCCAATTATGCCACAAACCCCCTCCCCATTGAAGAAACACCAGTGGCTCCCTATCACCTGCAGGGTCAAATAGAAAATCCTCGGACGTTTCAAAGCCCTTCCCAAGCTGGTCCCCTTCTACCTTTACAATCTTGTTTACATCTTACTCCCTGCCCGCCCCCACTACGTCCTTAGTGACCCAGACATTCTTACTGGCTGTCTCACAAGTCTGGAATGCTCTATCTCCTTGTCTTTGCCTCTAGGCTTCCCCTTTCCAAGTCCCATTCTTTTATGTCCCTGCAAAAATCCCCCCTTCTACCAGAAGCTTTTCCCAATCCGCCTTAATGCTAGTACCTTAATTCTACTGTCTTGATTGTCTCCAGTTTATCCTGCATATATCTTGTTTGTACATAGTTGTTTTCATGTGTTAGTTTGGGAGCACCTTGAGAACAGAAACTGTTTTTTTGTCTTTCTTTGTATCCCCAGGGCTTAGCTCAGTGCCCAGCACAGCAGGAACTGAAAAAATGCTTGACTCGCCTAGGAATCAGCAGACCACAGAAGGTACTCTGGGATCAGAGAGATCAAGGCTCAAACGGAAATTAAAATGAAGTAGGCTGCTAACCATTTTTTTCTGGTGATCTTCCACAACTTCTGCCCCAGTCCTTTAAAATTAAACTTTAATATGAAATGATCTCATAATTTTGATTAGAAAAACAGCAAGAGAAGAGAGAATTAGTATGATCACCTTAAGAAATTATCTACCCTCTCTTAGTCACTCTTCAAAACAATGGAAAATGTTTCCTTTTCTCATCTTTCATAAACATGGAATTTTTGTGGGAGGGGGTTCGGTTTTACTTTGGTAAAGGGGAAGAAAATGTGGTATGGGAGAAAGGTTTGTAGGAGAAAAAAATTTAAGAACCAACAATTTAGAGGCCAAGAATTCTGCAGAGAGCATGCCATGCAAAAGGGGAAGACCTTGGTGGTAAATTTCGAACAAGAAGTTAAGGGAGGGTATTCTTCTCATCATTGGCCAGTTTCCCAAGGCACTGAAGCCAGCTCAGAGACAGACAAAATGGTATTTCTGTAACCATTCTTCTCTCCTCTCTCTCTCTCTCTCTGTGTCTCTCTGTGTCTCTCTCTGTCTGTCTCTCTGTCTTTGTCTCTGTTTCTCTCTGTCTCTCTGTTTCTCTCTCTCCCTGTCTCTGTCTCTCTGTTTCTCTGTCTCTCTGTTTCTCTCTCTGTCTCTGTTTCTCTGTCTCTGTGTTTTTGTCTCTCTCCCTGTCTCTCTGTTTCTCTGTCTCTCTCTCTCTTTGTCTCCTCTGTCACTCTCTCTGTGTCTGTCTGTCTCTATGTCTGTCTCTGTTTCTCTCTGTCTCTGTCTCTCTCCCTGTCTCTGTTTCTCTGTGACTCTGTTTCTCTGTCTCTGTGTTTCTTTGTCTCTCTCTCTCTCTTTGTGTGTGTGTGTGTGTCTCTCTCTCAAGCGAAGGGATGCTGCACAGGAGGAGTCACACATAAGGGAGGGAGCCCAGGGTCCCTAAGGACCACCATGACTGTGTCAGCTCACTTCCATGACATGGCTCTTCTGGCATCAGCCTGGCAGTCATACAGTACAGGGGGACGTTGATGAGTCCAGAACATTAGTGGCTAGCCGTGGCTAAAACTTTGTCTTAAAATAGCCCGAGGTGAACGACCACCATTGCAGACTGGAATTCCTAGATGTCCCTTCCTGGAGTTGCCCGTCTAAGCTTCGCTCTTCCCACCAATGAAGGCGGGAGTGGGGGGAGGGGGGGGCGGGGTTAGTTTTTTTAAAAACTTATTTGCTGCTGCCATCTTGTGGTCAACCAAGGAATTCAATAGCAACTAGGGCTCTGTTCATTTTGTCTGGTTATCATAAAGTAATTATAGCAAAACCTTTCTGATCCAGATGAATGGAAGAGAAAGTTAGTCTGAATTAAGTGAAAAACCTAAAATATAGCAGATTTTAAATACATTCTGAGTTTATTCATTTTAATTACATTCCATAACTAAATCTACCTACGTATTTCCAAGTAGAGGGGCTTGTTGGGCCTTTTTGAATTAGCATCTTTTTGCACATAATTATTATGCTAAAATTCTTAAACACAATTAAACATTCTCATAATCTTGCTTAATGTATTCATTTGTTTCCTTCCTAGGTAGGGCAAAAATAAATTTAGGCTAAGTTTGAATTATTACAAATTTGCAATTAGTGGAAATGAGATTTTTAACGAGATCTTAGTATATAATTGACCAAGACAATTAAGTGCTTTGATATGGAAAATGACCGTATTTCTGTATAACAATATTTTAGATTCTCTTTATATTTGTTTTTAAATACCTGAGGATGTATAGGATCAGAGAAACTCCAAAAAAGAATCAGGGATGGTTGCAAAAGTAATTTGCCTGAAAACTGAACTCTTTCTTCATAATTGAGTCGTTCTGCTATAGACACTGCTATTAGCCCTGATTTAGGAAGGGGAAAAAAGACAAAAAACAAGAAATACAAATCTGTAGTTAGTAGCTTTATAGCTAGAGTGTGTTCAATCTTTACTTTTCTATGAATAGTTTTCTTTACTAATTTTTTTTGTGTGTGTGTGAGGCAATTGGGGTTAAGTGACTTGCCCAGAGTCACACAGCTAGTGAGTGTTATATGTCTGAGAGCAGATTTGAACTCAGGTCTTTCTAACTTCAGGGCCGGTGCTCTATCCACTGGGCCATCTAGCTGCCCCTCTACTCATGTTTGGATAGTAATTTGAATGAAAATATATTGCAGGAACCCTAGAGGGCCTTCTCACACAGACGTGATCAATAGAAGTAAGGCTATGCTAGGGGCAGTTAGGGGGCCCAGTGAATAGAGCTCTGGCCTTGGAGTCAGGAAGACCTGAGTTCAAATCCAGCCTCAGACACTTAACACTTACTAGCTGTGTGACCTCGGGCAAGTCACTTAACCCTGATTGCCTCACCTGGGCTGCCTAAATAAGGTTCCCCACCCCTGGTCTAGATGATTTGAATGGTCTGTCAGACATTTGAGGGTTAACTGAAAGTGCTACTTCCTTCTGGAATTCAAGGTTGCTGACAGGTAGTTTTGTCTTCCAAAATGAGGACTGCTTCCCCACCCCAAGTAAAAAGGGTTAGCTGACTCGAGGGTCCTGAGTCCATCTTGCATGGCCCTTACAGTGGTGACTTGCCCAGGGTCACACAGCTAGTGTCAAGTATTTGGGCTAAGGCCGCATTTGAACTCAGGTCCTCCTGACTTCAGGACCAGTGCTCTATCCACTGCACCACCTAGCTGCCCCAAAAGACAACTTTTAAGCTCTGGCAACCACTGACATTTTCCAGTGGTTGAGTCCCATCAACATTCACCTGGCCTGTCTATGATAGCCAAGTCACTTTTCTTCACACAGAACTGCCTTTGAAGCCTTTTCCCCACTTGTGTGCACAAACTGTTCTGCTGAATGATTGTTACAGAGCCCAAAGGTGGTATGAGCTGGCAAGGGAAAGGTGTGACCAAGGCCTTCCCACAAACCTTCCTATAAATGCTGAAATGAATATAATTTACAGTCTTAAATACAAAGACATCATTGACAAATTTGTGATGCAAAGGTTTGTGATAGGTTGCTTTAAAATAACATTTATAATAGCATACTTTCTTTTTTCCTGTTTCATACTTTTGAAGTAGGTAGAGGGTGCGCACAAGTGGTTGTTAGTTCTATTAAACCTACATGCCACTATTTCAAGTTTGTCATCCCTCATTTCTTTTTAGGGAGAACTCTTGAATTATCAGTGAATCACACATTTCTTTATATTGCTTAAAGATTTATATCTTACAGATTTGGTGAAGGAGGAATCAGAATGCAGGCTGTCATGGGGTGGGGAGAAAATCTGGAGCTCAAAATCTTGTGGAAGTGAATGTTGAAAACTAAAAATAAATAAATAAATTGGAAAAAAAGGACTTATATCTTAGAGGGCTACATTTTCTCACCCTAATGGTTATAACTGTAGTCAGGGTGAAGTCTACAGCCTTTAAGGAGAGGTTCTCTATAAACCCTGGAAAATAAACAAGCTATGTCTAATTGAACCTAGACCGGCTTTGGTATTTGCAATTTAAGACTCAGACTCTTCTTTGAAAGGCACAGACTGTTACACAGGCTAGGAACGCTACTTGATTATAAGCATGATTGACCCTCCGCTCTCTTCAGGGCCCCAAATCCAATAAATGCTAAGCATTCTTGGGTAAACTTTTCATTCATAGAAATAGATGTCCAGTGGAAGTGAATATGTAGGTGATGATGTGGAGTAGGGGAGAAGGCTATATTCTATGCTATATAAACTCATAGTGTACGGCCCTTTATGGATTCATATAAACCTATTTTCTGACCGTCAGATCAGATAAGAGGGCATTTTATATAGTAGTGACAACATATGTGTCATCGTTCTTAAATTAGAAGAAGGGTTTCCAAGTTCTTTATTCCTTCTTGATTCAGGTAGGTCGTCTAAGTTCATTAAGTATCGTTTCCTAACTTTCAAGATTAAACTATTTAACATTTAGACTTTTAAAGCAATTAAATAATACATTTCAGTGGCTAAAAAAAGGGCAGTTAGCATCATATCAGTTATTACCATGAATCGTGGGATGCCAACAAACGCAAGTAATGGTTTTATCCTTTATATTGTGAAGGTCTGTAAAGGACTGATATTCTTTAAGGTGGGAATCTGTCTTGTCACCAAAAGTGGCTTCTTCCTCAGCGAGCACCTTCCAGTCATCAATAAAGACATTCATGATTTCATTTTGTTGTAGTGCCACTTCAACACTATTGGTAGAAGAAAAGTTTGTTGTTGATTTTTTTTTAAGATTTCAGATTATAGCATTTAATGATACCATTAATAACATTCCAATAGCCACTCCTCCTTCATCTATATAAAAATGCTGATTATTGCTTATTCTCTATCTGATCACCTACAGCAAGCCCATTAACTTTAGAAAATGGACCAGAAAACAGGAGACTTAAATGAAAAGCAGCCTTCGCAGATGTACCATTAACTCCATTTGAACTAATGGCGGGTAGCACAGGTAGGTGTAACAGCAAGGAAGCCAGCTGGATTGTGGGGTGGACTCCTGGACTCTAGAGTCTGTCATTGTGGCTATGATATTTGTGTTTTAAAACTGTCTTTTTCTGTACTTTACAAACATCGTTAAACACTAGAATATCTGTATGCATATGTACATAAAGCCAGGAATCTATTAAATACAGCTTTGCATTTAAAAAAAGAATATAACAAATTTAACATCGTTTCAAAGCTGTCTTGCTGGTCCATGTTTACTTCTCCACCTCCTTCTATTTTCTTCTGTACATTAAAAAGAAGAAAAAGCTATGATGACCTTCTCTTCCTTCCTTCCTTTCTTTCTTCCTTCCTTCCTTCCTTTCTTTTCTTTCTTTCTTTCTTTCTTTCTTTCTTTCTTTCTTTCTTTCTTT